CTAAATAGTAACGAGATTTTGTCTGTGATCATGCAGCCCCTGCACCCTCCCCGCCGCCGCTGCCGCACCGAATATCCCAGGGTTTCATTACAGACATTTGTGCACCTTACTTTAGCACACATTAGCAAAATGGATAAACCGAAATCCGAACCTCCACTGCTGAGCCAATCAGAGCACAGCAGGCTTCACAGCAGCGATCCAATCAGAGCAAAGCTCATTACCATAAATGTTAATGAGCCAAAATCAGTTGGTTTTCCTGTAAGGTTTTTTAGGCATACTAAAAACAAACCATCAAATAACTTTTCAGCTAAAATTATGTTACAAACATGATCAGAGGACATCAAGGATTATGAAAAAATTATAAAAATGGGTATGAAATTTTGATGGCAGGTCCCCTCTAATTGTTTTAAAATGCCCTTACTCAGAAAAATTAAAGGAGATCAAAATGAGGGTTTGGTTTGTTTTGTTTTGTTTTCAGCTGTCAGGTGTTGCTAAGTACAGCAATGGCGAGCTGGCAGAAGACAATGTTGCCATAACATTCAGGGTGGTGGATGAGAATGACAATCCTCCAGTGTTTGGTGTCATCAACCCAGGGGAAGTGAATGAGCACAGTCAACCAGGTGAGTGTTTTTGCAGCTGTTTACATTTCTGACAAATATCTATCCTGGAAATTTTTTTGGAGCTGGTAAAACGCAAATACAATGCTGACTCCATGATCTATGGGCTTAGTTGCACCAAAGACAAAGGAGCACATAAATCTACATTATCCAATATACAGTGCATCCGGAAAGTATTCATACCACTTCACTTTTTCCACATTTTGTTATGTTACACTTTTTCCAAAATGGATTAAGTTCCCTTTTTCCCTTAAAAATTCTACACAAAATACCCCATAATGACAAAGCGAAAAACTTTTTTTAGAACATTTTGCAAATTTATTAAAAATAAGAACACTCAAATGTTGCATATACATAGGTATTCACACCCTTTACTCAATACTCGGTCGAAACACCTTTGGCAGCGATTACAGCCTCCAGTCTTCTTGTGTATGATGCAACAAGCTTGGCACACCTGGATTTGGGGAGTTTTTCCCATTCTTCCTTGCACATCCACTCAAGATCAGTGAGGTTGGATGGGCAGCGTCGGTGCACAGCTACTTTCAGGTCAAAGATGTTAAATCAGGTTCAAGTCTGGGCTCTGGCTGGGCCACTCAAGGACATTCAGAGACTTGTCCTGAAGCCACTCCTTTGTCTTCTTGGCTGTGTGCTTAGGGTCATTGTCATGCTGGAATATGAAGCGTCACCCCAATCGAAGGTCTTGAGCGCTCTGGAGCAGGTTTTCATCAAGGATTTCGATGTACTTAGCTGCATTCATTTTTCCCTCGATCCTAACAAGTCTCCCAGTTCCTGCCACTGAAAAACATCCCCACAGCATGATGCTGCCACCACCATGCTTCACTGTAGGGATGGTATTGGCGAGGTGGTGAGTGGTGCCTGGTTTCCTCCAGACATGACGCTTGGCATTCAGGCCAAAGAGTTCGCTCTTCGTTTCATCAGACCAGAGAATTTTGTTTCTCCTGGTCTGTGAGTCCTTCAGGTGCCTTCTAGCAAAGTCCAAGCGGGCTGTCATGTGCTTTTTACTAAGGAGTGGCATCTGTCTGGTCACTCTACCATAAATGCCTGACTGGTGGAGTGCTGCAGAGATGGTGGTCCTTCTGTAGGGTTCTCCCACCTCCTCAGAGGAACGCTGGAGCTATGTCAGAGTGACCATCAGGTTCTTGGTCACCTCCCTGACCAAGGCCCTTCTCCCCCGCTTGCTCTGGTGGTTCCAAACATCTTCCATTTCTTAATGATGGAGACCACTGTGCTTTGGGATCTTCAATGCAGCAGATATTTTTCTGTAACCTTCCCCAGATCTGTGCACCCCGATACAACCCTGTTTCGGAGGTCTACAGACATTTCTTTTGACTTCATGGCTCGTTTGTGCTCTGACGTGCTCTGTCAGCTGTGGGATCTTATATAGACAGGTGTGGCTTTCCAAATCATGTCCAATCAGCTGAATTTGCCACAGGTGGGCTGCAATCAAGTTGGAGGAACATTTCAAGGCTGATCAGTGGAAACAGGATGCACCTGAGCTCAATTTTAAGTTTTATAGCAAAAGGTGTGAATAGTAATGTATATGCAACATTTGAGTGTCTTATTTTTAATAGATTTGCAAAATGTTCTAAAAAAAGTTTTTCAAAAAAAGTTAACATTACAAAATGTGGAAAAAGTGAAGTGGTATGAATACTTTCCGGACTTTCCTGATGCACTGTAAGTAACAACAGGCTATTCAGTATTGCTACATTCTTGAATCATGTTTTGACCATTCATGCTTTCATTAAGATGCGCTTTTTGATTTTATTTCAAATGCAGCCAACTTAGGGCAAAAGGAAATATTTCCCTCTCTATTATCACCAGCTGTTGGTCACTTTGGTTTATGATTAAACCTAATGGTTTTGATTAACTCTAAATCATGAGGTAAAGCTGATATCATTGGCCATTATAACTGCTGCAAATGAAAGGCTGTTCTCAATTTCAACCAAACAGACTAAGCACTCTGAAGAAACAAGGGTATTCTAATGATATTCCCCCAACTCCCACCCCTTTTTTTAAACAAAACTTTTTGTTTGTTTGCAGGCACTCCAGTGATGAAAATAACTGCAACTGATGCTGATGAACCAGGGAATATTAACTCTATGATTGCTTACTCATTAATTGACCAGAATCCACCAAATGATATGTTCTACATGACCAGAGATGGAACCATATGTGTGAAAAATTCTGCCCTGGACAGAGAGGTACAATAGAAAGTACTCCCACCCCAAAGTGTAGTTTTCAATTTACAAAAATGAACTAAGGCACTCTTACAGTACTGTACAAATGCCTTAATGTGGCAAAGTTCAGAACCAGCCTGTGTCATTTAATTATTTTGTTTCCCAACTTAAAACTTGCTTTAGTTCACAACTTTGTTATCTCATCTGCCATCTGGTGTTAAGAAATGACAATACATGTGTACTCCTGTAAATGAAAAATCAGTCAGGTTACCCTCCACTCCGTTAGTCTCTGGTTATCAGAGATTACAGTAACATTGCCCAAATTTATTTAACTGTTAAAAACTTGGGTTGTTGATTTTTTTTATAAACTTGCCACAAGAGGTTTTGAATATGCAGTGGTGCATCACTTTCATACACCTGAACTTTGCCAAACAGCACTAATGTTAAATAGCTAAGAACCTGCAATTTGGGATGATAAAGCAAATGCTGGCATTTCCTCACTTTCCAAAGGACAATCATGCAACAGACCTTGTTACTGCTTGAAAATTTACACCAGCCTCTCTATTATTGAACTTTTTTGTGTTTCAGAAAGTTGACAAATACACAGTGACGGTGAAAGCTCAGGACTTAGATGGAAGATCAGGTGGGAACACGGCCACAAGCATTGTTAATATCAATATCAAAGATGTGAACGACAACCTCCCCAGGCTTGAAAAAGAGCAGGTATTGTTCTTTCATAAAGTCTTTTGTATACATCCAGATTTTTTATTGCTTCAAGAGAAACTGGTGGGTTTCATATATTCATGGTTTCGGTGTTTTGTTTTGTGTTTTTGAGGAATAAAATCCAGCCTTTTCCCCTCATCGGGGTGGCACATAAGGGTGTTAAAAATTGTGAAATATATCCTAAGTTCACGACTCACTATGTGTTTTATTTGCAGTACGAGGGCAGCATTGAAGAAAACACACAAGGTGTTGAAGTGATGAGACTCAAAGCACAAGATCTTGATCTGAAGGACACTGACAACTGGGAAGCTGTGTATGAGATTGTGAAAGGCAATGAAGCAGGATACTTCACCATTAAAACAGACCCCATAACCAACGAGGGTATCTTAATGCTTGACAAGGTGATACTGCCTGAGAAACAAAGAAGTGTTTGTGGGGTTTTGATTGAGAAACAAAACCATGTCCGTCTCTCAGTTTCAAAAAGAATTGATCTCACCACTACATGGATAAAGCGTTATATAGAAGGAATTCAGAAAGTAACTGTCAGTTGTGTGAGGAACAATTGTGGGTTAAAAAAACTGAATTACCTAGAGACAATAATTTTGAAGCAAAAAATATATATTTTTCAATTGAGGAGGGTGCCCAAAAGAGCTGGTTTAGTTACAAAAGTTGGTTTTGGGAAAAAGAAGAACCAGGACTGCTCCCTAAGGCATTTTTTATGATGAAAGGTTGGGTTTAACAAATCCTAGTATTTCATGTAACATTTAGCTTGAATTACTAAATGAAGACATGAACTTGCTAACTGCCTCTATCTCATTGTGTTGGACTAAAGTTTCATCCCACACATCTCCTGCTCTCTAAATTGGATGTTGCATTAGTGATTTTTGTCATGTGTCTGCAAGGCTAAGTTGTGCAGTCCATATTCGTATGAGTTTTTGATCGAGGATGTTGAGGCATTTCCAGGACACAATGGGTAATAAGCCTTTTCAGAGTGTTCTGGGTCTCCCCGGGGTCCTTTTCCAATTGAAACATCTTGAGGGGAAGTCAGACTCAAACATCACCATCAGAGTTAAATAATCCTTGCCCAAAAACTGTATCACTTGCTGCCGTGACTCTCTAGACTCTCAGACCAGTCATATTAGACCTAATTTTACTGGATTTGGTAATATGTCTAGAACTGTTAATTTGTTTTATTGTAAGAACCATACTTGTCTTTGTAAATTGTATCTGTGTGTGCATTTTCACAGGCTGTGGATTATGAAGATGTTAAGGACCTTGATCTAGGAATAGCTGTGAGAAATAAGGCTCCACCATTTGATGGGTCTGGGTCTTCTGGAGGTGGTATCAGTTTCGGAGGAGGAGGAGGAGGAGGAGGAGGAGGAGGAGGAGGAGGAGGAGGAGGAGGAGGAGGAGGTGGTGGTGGTGGAGGTGGAGGAGGAGGAGGTGGAGTTGCAAGTTGGTCTGACGGAACCTCATGGCAAAGTGGAACCAATTTTAAAACCTATCCAGTCAAAATCAATGTGAAGAATAAGCCTGAGGGTCCAGCTTTTGACCCCAAAGTCAAAGCTATTCCTATCTCAGAGGGAGGCCAGACCATCAAAATTAATGATGTAATTGCCAGCTACCCTGCAATAGATGGAGACACCAGGAAACCAGCTGAGAATGTCAGGTCAGTGTTTGAATGAACACACTGAAATGAATTCATCTGTAGTTAAAGTACAATGTCAGTTTATCTTTCTACCCTGATCACAATAATCAACCTGTACCCTAGGTATGCCAAGGGTTCAGATCCTGACAACTGGCTCACCATTGATCCCAACACAGCTGAGATCAAACTGAACAAGATGCCTGACAGAGAATCTCCATTTCTGAAAAATGGGACTTATATAGCTAAAGTTCTGTGCATCAGTGAAGGTACACTTTTCTACTGTATATCTTCTGCCTCCCACATGTTAACCTTTCCTGGTAGCAATAGTTCAAGAGTGTGAATTTGGCTTGCCACTTCTGCAGACCACAGTATTAATGCCATAACTACTACAGTGTAAGAGTGACAGAAGAGTGACACTACAAACAAATTTTGTGTCATAGATGCATTAAAGTCTAACAGCGGTAATCTGTCTGAAGTTTGGAGAAAGAAATACTTTTTACTAGATTAGTGTAGATTTTAATGCAAAGTTCACACTTTTTAAGCAGCAAACTTTGTTTTCAATGTGCAGTGCCTATGACATAAACATGGATTTTCAACATTTGCTGCACAGCAGTAAGGGACAATGAAAATAGGCTCTTCGCAGCCAAACGTGAGGTTGTTCAAGCCGTATGACATCTGTTCTGAGCTGTTTTGTTATCCCAGATTGTGAATTGTGAGTCTGCTACTATTCCCACTTGCTTAATAATGTTCCTGGAGGTTCAACACCACTGCACAGACAGCATAGTGGTCATACTCTCTTACATGTCTGAAAGAAGAAAATTAGCCTCTTCTTCAAACAGATATCTATCAACAATGAATAAACAAACATGAAATGCTACATGGTCTGATCTCTTGTCTCTTTTTCAAACAGACGAGCCCGGTAAAACAGCCACTGGCACAGTTGCTATCCAGGTGGAAGATTTCAATGACAACTGCCCTACCCTGACTAGTAACATTCAGACTATGTGCACCACACAGGATTCTGTTATTGTCAATGCCAAAGATGAGGATTTATTTCCTAATGGACCTCCTTTTGACTTCAAGATCATTCCACAAGACACTGAGGGTAAATGGCAGGTGGAGCATCTCAATGGTAAGGAAACTTTTACACACAAGTAATTTATCAAATGTACGGATGTGATATAATTTAATTTATAAATATTAAAATGTATTACTTCACACTTTCATTTTTTCAAGAAAAGTGAAAATCTAATGAAGGCTTGAGTCTTCGGTTAAGACAACATGATAAAAAAAGGTGTCTAAGGTCGCTTTTACACCAGAGCTGTTTGGTCTGCCTCGTTTCCTCGGATAGTGCGCTTCGTTTTGGCAGGTGTGAAAGCTCATCCGAACTCTGGTGCGGACCAAACAAGCGAACTCTGGTCCGCCTGAAAGCGTAGGTCTCGGTTCGCTTGCAAGTGAACCCTGGTTCGGTTCGTATGCAGTGTGAAAGTTCACCAGACCAAACACAGGACCAAATGTACGTAATGACGCTATATGCAGTGCATACCCAGTGCATCTTGGGTAGAGGAAGCGCGGCGTCCCTTGTTGCTATGGCAACAAGTGACCGCTGACATTAGCAGTTGCTAGCTAGCTTAGCTCAATTGTCTGAACAACAATAACCCATAAATACACAATTTGGCATATTTAAACAAAATCAAATCACAACTACCAACAGTCACAGTCCTTAAACTCTGAGCTCATATGTTGTCACGTTAAATCGTCAAAGTTAGAAAAATAACAGGATCAATCCCTGACAAGCTACGATAGCATTGTAGGAACAGTTGCGTTCACTAACGTTGTAGCATTCCAAAAAATAATGTGATGAAGCACAATACAAGACGGCTAGTCCACCCCTGTTTGTAATCCGTGAGGTTACATACCCCTCCTACTTGGTCTAATCGACGAGCACCCCTTTCAACCATGTGATGCTGCTCGGAAAGTTCGGTGCGCTTTAGAAATCACAGTGTGAAAGCAGAACCGAAACAAGTGATAAATGCAACAGTGTTGCGACTTTCAGCTCCCCAATCGAACCGAGTCCACTTGGTCAGGTGTGAAAGCGACCTAAGATGTGCAAACGGATGCAAAATAAAGTGAAAGTGAAAGATAAGGTCGCTGTGATGTTTCAACTATGCAAGGACAGCAGACATATGACAAATAGAATGAAATCAAGGACAAGAATTACTTGTTTAAATTGTCTATAGGCCTGATCTTGAAGTCATATTTAGAAACGGTGATGAAGATCCCACAAGACAAGGATTAAAGACTCTGAAACCCCACCATTAAGGACCACTTCTGTGTATCTGCTTGATGCATTGTTGGTGCTCCATTCTTGCAAGAATTAAATGTACCTTCATTATATATCCTGAACTTTGGTGTCTGCCTTTTGTCATTCAAGAAAAACTTTTCTAACAATAAACCAATCTGGTATTTTTCACATTCCACACAGACACTGCTGCGATCCTAAGGGCTCAAGAGACCATGTGGCCTGGTGTCTTTAAGGTGGCATTTGAGGTGAGGGATGAGCAGGGAGAGGCCTGTCCAGAACCACAGAAAGTTGAGATCCAAGTTTGTACCTGTGAAGATGGAGTTATGTGTGGAAAACGGGGGGGTGGAGGTCAGGTCAAAAAGGAGGCAGTGTTCGGACCTGCAGGCATTGGACTGCTGTTTCTCGGCCTGCTGATGTTACTACGTAAGTATGTTGCAATGTTAATCAGAATCAGAATTACTTTATTGATCCCAACCTGGGATATTATAGTTTTACTGTAGCTTTTTCCTAGTGAGCCAAAACAATATAGAAATATAAGAAGACACACATCAAGAAATTACCGTAATAAAAATTATAAAAATATGGCAGTATTTCCAATTCGCGTTTTTCCCAAAAACTTTTTATACATTAAATACAGAATAAAAAACTATTGGGCTTTACAACTGAAATTTGAAAAGAGCAGTGGTGCCAGTAAAAATAAAAATAAGAATATGTTGTAAGGACTGAAAGTTTTATTTAACAGTATTTACAGGTAAGCGAGCAGAGCAGAGTACGTATATATTATGATGAGGATAACTCATAAGAGGTGAGCTGTTGTACAGTGTTATGGCCCTTGGTGGGAAAGATTTCCTGTATCTGTCCTTGTGATATCTGTGGGTGGTGCAGAGGGTGATCAGGGTTATCCATAATGGATAAAAGTTTGTTTTGAGTCCTCCTCTCTGCCAACACTACAAAAAAGTCTAGCTTGCAGCCTATTACAGAGCAGGCCTTCTTGATGAGCTTATCCAGTCTCCTGATGTCACCAGCTCCAGTGCTGCTCCTCCAGCAGACAACAAAACTGATAAGAGTACTCACCACAACAGACTGACATAAGATCTCCAACATCTTGCATCACTCATTGAAGGACCTCAGCTTTCTCAGAAAGTAGAGTCTGCTCATCCCCTTCTTGTATACAGCATGTGAGTTGGCCTTCCAGTTCAGTTGTTGTCCATGATGACACCCAGGTACTTGTAATCTTCCACCACAGATACACTGTGTGCACAATTATTTGGCAAGTGAATATTTTGATCATATCATTATTTTTATGCATATTTTCCAACTCCAAGCCGTATAAACTTGAATGCTTATTGGATATAAGCATATCAGGTAATGTGTATTAGTGTAATGAGGGAGGCTGGGGCCTAAGGAAATCAACACCCTATATCAAGGTGTGCATAATTATTAGGCAGCTTCTTTTCGTCAGGTAAAATGGGCCAAAAAAAGAGATTTAAGTGACTCTGAAAAGTCAAAAATTGTAAAAAGTCTTTCAGAGGGATGCAGCACTCTTGAAATTGCTTAGATATTTGGGCGCGATCACAGAACCAGCAAACATTTTGATGCAAATAGTCAACAGGGTCACAAGAATGTGTTAAGAAAAAAAGACGCAAATTAACTGCCAAAGATTTGAGAAGACTCAAACGTAAAGCTACCAGGAACCGCTTATCCTCCGGTGCTGTCATATTCTAGAACTGCAACCTACCTGGAGTGCCCAGAAGTACAAGGTGTTCAGTGCTCAGAGACATGGCCAAGGTAAGGAAGGCTGAAACCTGACCACCACTGAACAAGACACACAAGTCGAAACGTCAAGACTGGGCCAAGAAATATCTGAAGAGAGATTCTTCAAAGGTTTTATGGACTGATGGGATGAGAGTGACTCTTGACGGACCAGATGGATGGACCCGTGGCTGGATCAGTAATGGGCACAGAGCTCCACTTCGAATCAGACACCAGCAAGGTGGAGGCGGGGTACTGGTATGGGCTGGTATTATTAAACATGAGCTAGCTGGACCTTTCGAGGTTGAAGATGGACTTAAAATCAACTCCCAAATCCAATGCCAGTTTTGAGAAGACACTTTCTTCAAGCAGTGGTACAGGCAAAAGTCTGCATCTTTCAAGAAAACCATGATTTTTATGCAGTACAATGCTCCATCGCATGCAACAAAGTACTCCACTATGTAGCTTGCCAGTAAAGGCCTTAAAAACGAAAGAGTAATGACGTGGCCTCCTTCACCTGACCTAAACCCTATTGAGAACTTGTGGGCCCTTCTTAAACGGGAAATTTACAGTGAAGGAAGACAGTACACCTCTCTGAACAGTGTCTGGAAGGCTTTGGTTACTGCAACACAAAAAGTTGATCTTCAACAGATCAAGAAACTGAAAGACTCCATGAATGGAAGGCTTATGACTGTTATTGAAAAGAAGGGTAGTTACATTGGTCACTGATTTTTTTTTTTTTAAATTTCAACAATGTTTATTTGTAAATTGAATTGTTTGTTTATCATTCTCACTTCAACAAGTGAAAATAAACAAGTGAGATGGAAAATTTTTCATTTTTAATTTAGTTGCATAATAATTCTGCACACTAATAGCTGCCCCCAATAATTGTGCACACACAGATATTCTCCATAGGAAGCCAAAATCTCACTTTTACTCCCTTAAATATTAAGGTTTGAGGTTTGTTAACATTTTGGATTGACCGAGAGCACTGCAGTTGTTCAAAAATAAAATGTATCCTCAAAAATACAACTTGCCTAATAATTCTGCACACAGTGTATATCATCAACTGGGATACACAGTGGTGGTGATGCATGTTCAGAATCAGATGATTTCTTCTTGCCCACTCCACAAAGTCATCTACCAGCGCTCTGTATGCCTCCTCTTTTCCACATCTTATACACCCCACCACAGCAGAGTCATCAGAAAAGTTCTGCAAGTAACATGACCTGGAATTGTACTGAAAGTCTGAGGTGTACAATTTGAAGAGGAAGGGTGACAGCACAGCCCTCTGTGGATTTCCTGTTCTACTCTCCACTATTCCATACTGACCACTGCCTAGTCAGATGAACTGTGGTCTGTCTGTCAAGTAGTTTGTAATGCAGGAGATGATGGACGAGTCCACACCCATCAGCTGCAGCTTCACTTCCAGTAGTTGTGACTGGATGGTGTTTTGGCTTGTTATTTGGAAAACAGCATACAGTCCTGGTCGGTAGAGCAATGTTTTCACAGAATTTAATGACTGGCTGTGAGACAGTCAGTCATACTGTTAATGTCCTCACCATGTGTGCATCCCACTTAGTGAACTCAAAGCAGTCCTAAAGTGCCTCAGTACCCTCCTGAGTCCATGAGTCCATCTCCTAACAGTCCTTGTGGTCACAGACTGCCTCAGGACCAGGGGGATGTACTCCGGTGTCAATAGAACCAGGTTATGGTCAGATATGCCCAGCATACAGAAGGTCCAGTGTCCTGTTTCCTTTTGTTGGACAGTCGATATATTGATGAAAGGTGGGTAGTGGGTTGTCACTGTGTAAAGCATACGCCCCAGACAGTAAGGAGGAGTACACCACCTCTCATTCACATAGGCCCTCATTAATCAAGCTTTGATACGGCAGAAAACTCACGTACGCCTTGCATGGCGATGTGAGGATTGGCATTTATCAATCGGCAGGTGAGCGTACGCTACGACCAAATCTCACGACAGGTCTGACATTGTTTACGCAAGTTTGAGCCAGTGTGGATCTGCGGTGCAGCAAATGTCTGTCTCAAAATAATTGATATACAAACCTCAAACCTGTTATTAAGCACAGTCAGCCAGATTTTGTTAAAGATTAAGACGTAAATAAGATAAAATAAAATAAATTTGTTATGTCCTTAGTGAATAGGCCTACTTGATAACTCTGCTCAGAAACACTGCCACAGAGCAGGAGTGCTGTTTTAACATTGCGCACACATGCACACGCGCCACTGTGGAGCGCTGCGTTTGACTCCTAAAAGGTAGGTAGCTCTGTCTTAGCCCAGCAGCAGGGGCGTTGTTGTACACTCCTGAAAGGGTGTGGGTCATCATTTGGGCCAGTACAGTTTTGCACAATGTTGGTGAATGGAGTGCCGTTGGCTGTGCCGGTGCAACGTGAGGACCTGATGCCCAGAGAACAATAACAAGGAGAGACTCCACAAAGGTGCTGTACAGAGGAGACAGGACCTTATTGATGGATTCTGACATGTAAAGTATAAGTTTAGAAAGTGCTCTTGCTATTTAATCAGTGATAAAAGTCCAATAGAATTCCATAAAACTAAATACTTTCAATAATAGGAGCAACGTGCCCTATGTCATGGCAATAAAAAAATATGAGGCATATATGAGATATTAATTTATCGTCATGAGCAACTTATTGACTAATGATTTATTCAAACTTCAGCCACTGTCTGCTATTCCGCGGCAGCGCTATTCCCCGCGACCGTAATCCTGCTCCAGACAGAAGTTTTCTGGACTGCTTTTATACCAGTTTTAATGCTTCCAAAGAGCAAATCCTTGTTAGTTTTCACCACAGACACGAGGATATCCACTTTCAGCTCTGAAAAGTTTCGAATCTTTCTCATATTTCTCCTCTTTCATGTTTGACCTCAGTGGGCGAGGCTCCTGAACTACGAATATTTAAGGGTGTGACATGTTAATGACGATCGATTTCAGCCGCCGCATTTATCAAGACCCAATTATATGTACGCTGGGATTGGTCAGATACAAACCCTTTCATAAATCTCATGTGTGTCCTATCGTACGATGAATCCTGCGCTCAGTTCTACGCAAGATTGATAAATGAGGGCCGTAGAGTGCAATCCCTCCACCCTTCTTTTTACTTCTCATAGTAGCATCCCTGTCAGCCTGAAAACATCTGAAGCCGGGTACAGCCACGCTGTTATTCTGGATGTCCAGGTGCAGCCGTGTCTCCGTGAAGCACATAACGCTGCACTTGCCACTGGTGCCAAACAAGCTTGTCGAGTTCGTCCGTCTTGTTGCCTAGAGACCTCACATTTCCCATTATCACCGCTGGTATGGAAGGCTTGTGTTTCCACCTCTTTGCTTTTCTCTTGGCTCCAGCTCTGCAACCCCAGCGCCTCCTCCTCAGTTCAGCTCTGCTCTGCTGCACGCTGATCGCCGTTACGAAGAGTGTTGAAAGTAGCAGGAAAAAAGCTGAAACAGGTCCAAAAACGAAAGCAGCCATTGTCGTCTCAGACTGATAAATTATTATTCCCAATAGCACAATGTGAATAAATCATTAAGTAAAACAAAACAAAAAAAAAAGTAAACAATGTTGAACCTGGGAGCCGCTGCAACAGGTGGCCACCTCACACAGCGCTGGAAGCAGGACACGGTCTATGTCTGCTGCTGGAGAGTTATTAGATTGAAAACTGAAGATCATTTCCAGACTGTTAAAAATGAGATCATGTCCTGGGCCCTGTTTTCACCAGGCATAAATGTCGGTTTAGGGTGATATAATCACAAGTACACAACTTGCTTTACCATTACTTCTATACACTTCTCAGTGCAGCAACACCATACAACAAGGAAGGCTATGCAGTTGCTATCCTTGCAATTAAGAGTTGAGGACAAGATGAAATTGCATGTATCAAACAACAAACAAAGTAGGTTGTACTCACTGGTCAGTGCATGTTTTCTCAAGTTAACAAAAAGCATGGGGATCTTCTCAACTACGCCAACAGCATAAATAAATAATTTGAAGGCAGAGTACATGTATTAAATTGGAAAATTTGAAACTATAAAATAACACATCACCTCTGACATAGTTGTTGTTAATTTGGAAAAAAATCAATAGGTGGACTGAGGATGCCTACAACCTGATCAGAATTTAAGTGAAACAGTAACCATGAGCTGTAAACAAAGCCTGAAAGTCAAAAGGACCACTGTCTTTGCTTAGCTTATTTCCCCTACATCCTTATAGTGCAGTAGATAACTCAAAAAATAATTCAAATGGTGATGCAAGTATAAAACTTGGCATAATTACTCTCTGAGGGCCACTCTTTTGGAAAATGGTGTTAGACACTTGAAATTTAAGATGGTAGCCATTTTTCAAGATGGATGCAACCACAGTAGAAAATTGGTATGAGAAGTTGTCGAAGAAGAAAAGAAATAGGAATGAATAAGAGCATACAAGATATTGCAATATTTAGTAAAAGGTGCAAAATATTAGAAATGAAGCTATTAACTAAGCGCAGAGTGTTAAGAAATTGGCTATGTACAAGTATCTACAAGTATGAGAGTTGTACAAAACCAATTTGTAGTACACAGAGTATTGCAAAGTTAAACAGACTATATAACAGTTAAGCTTAATTAAAAATGTCATATTCGTATTGCACTCTTAGATTATTAAAGTTTGACCTCTTTTCAAACAGATTACACAGTTAAATGTAATTATATGCAGCGGAGGGTTTACGGCTTGAGGACAAGTCCAGGGACAGTCAGTGTGTGAAACTCAAAGGAAGGAGTTATAAAGTTTGATGGTCACAGGCAAGAATGACTTCCTGTGATGCTCTATGGTACATTTAGGAAGAATGAGTCTAGCACTGGGTGTGCTCCTGTGTTTAACCAGCACGTTAAGGAGCCGGTGGTGGATGCTGTCCAAGATTATATGTAGCTTTAAAAACATCCTCCTCTCTGTCACCACCATCAGAGAATCCAGCTCTATCCCACAATGTCACTCGCCTTGCGGATGAGTTTGTCAAGTCTGTTGGCTACGTCTGCTACCATCAGTCTGCTTCCGCAGCACACAATGGCAATCAGGATCACACTGGCCACCACAGACTCATAGGACACCCTCAGCATGGTCCTTTAGATGTAAAAGGACCACAGCCTCCTGAGGAAGTAGAGATGGCTGAGGCCCTTCTTGTAGACAGCTTCAGAGTTCTTAGACCAGTCCATTTTGTTATCCAAGTACACCATTTGGTAGTTGTAGTCCTCCACAATGTCCACACTGACCCCTGGATGTAAACAGGGGTCTATTGATCTTTGTTTAAAGGAACTGATATTTTTATTTCAGATGCAATTATTGGTGATGCAAGCAGGTGGTAGAAGCCTGGTGGCTACAAAATATCAAATGTTTGATGATGGAAAACAATAGAACAGTTGTGATAGCTACCCAAGTTTCCTTATACAGATTTGAGGTGCATGGTTGTTTCAGACAGTATAAATGATAAATGAGTGTAAATGATTGTAATCATGTTGTTTTGATACGAGGAACAAACATTACTTTTTTCAGAGGACAGACAAAAGTAGACTAAATATATTTTTTGGAATATTCTTACAGTTATTCCATTGTTGCTGCTCTTCTGTCAATGTGGAAATGCTGCTGGTATGCCAGGGGCCTTTGCTGAGATGCCTTTTGACACCAAGTCAAACCTCATCAACTACCGCACTGAGGGCCAGGGGGAGAACACGGTAAGACCAGCAAATTGACATTTTGCAACCTGTACTTTAAGACCAGCAATGTCAGGAACAGTGTACACTTGAAGCATGCTTGAAAGTAAACTTATTGGTATACTATTAGTTTTTTTTGGAAGGGAAAGGACAGAATGAAAATGTGGGAGACAGAGAGGAGGATGACATACAGCACAGGTTCACTGCAGGGGACCACAGTCTCCAACATGAGGCACTTAACCCGCTCTGCCATCTGCGCACCCACTCTAAAGCCAAGTTACCTTGTTGCTATGCTATTATTTCAATAGCAGTACAATTTAATATATCTAGCTTTTGCACCATATCATTTTAATACTATACTCTTAAAGAGTTTACTCTTTAAAAGATAAGCAGTACAAGCTTAAGTACACTTAAACCTTACGTAAACATTATGGATCATCTTATATTCAGTCCATGTAGGACTGCATATAACAGACGTTGCAGAGTCGAATAATCACTTGCTATTTTACAGATTCAACTGTAATCATTAGTATTGAAGAGGTGTAGTTGTGCCATTTTAGAATAGACATTTAAATTAAATTTAAAAACATTTAAATTCTAGTGCAATAAATACTCAGATGATTAACTTGAGTAAAAGTGTCAATAACACAAAATAAATGCTTTATTTAGAGAAGAAATCCTGCATTTTAATTAGGGTTGCACAATAAATAGTTCACAAATGTCTGGCAATTTTCACAGAAAGGTGTAGTATTTGTTTATGACAAAGTGTGTGTTAAAATAAACTTCATGCAGCAGGGATGTCATATCATATGACATCATATATAATGGACTTAATCATACACATTCTTTGGGTATAAATCCGTCCCAATAGTCTTACAATAATCTCACAATTATAACACTAATGGGGGGGGGGGGCATGATGGCCATTGGTGCAGCCACTCTAAAGTTAACTTTTTGGCATGCTATTTTTTCAATAGTAGTACATATTTATATAATTTGCTTGTACTGCTTGTTGTTTGTTGTTTGAATGGTATTGTCTTACAGAGTTTACTCTTATAAGGATTAGCAGTACAAGCCATGTATACTTTAACCTAAGCCACAAATACATACCTGAGTATATCTTGATCAAATGTTTATGTATAAGTATAGGTTAAATGTAGACTTTGAGTATAATTCTTTGTACAAACCAAGCATAATTAACATTAACTTTGTTCAGAATATCTCTGAACAGTGCATTAGAAGTAAACTGAAAGCATACTTAGTTTAAACACAGTATAGGCTACTTATGTACTAAAGTACATACTTCTTTTTCTGTTATTCAGCTTCAGACTATTAAAAATCATATATTTGTACAAATTTCAGGAGAAAAGTCCACAAAATGGACTGACAACAGTTTCTGACTCCAAAGAATCAGAAGAAATTACTTTATGGGTAGATGCATTTTTCTGCAGAAAGAAAAACAGCTGATATAACGTTAATATTTCCCATCTGCTGACTATTCTACAGCTTTTCAATAAAACCCTTTTAGTTGCTTGTTTACCTCTTGGTATTCATATATGCTAAATGATACAGTGGGCTCAGTTACCACAGAACAATCTAATAACACAGTTAGATTAAATCAATCATCATAGTTTTGTGTTTTCTGCATTAAAATTAAGTCACACATCAGCCAAACGTTAAGGGTGAGAAAATGTCTATTTTACAAGATCTACTTAACATAAATTACACAAAAGATATCAACTTTACTTTCGGATCATTACCTTTCACTGTTCAGCCCCACAAATAGGAATGTATGGTTTTTAAACTGTACATTGCCATGCACCACTCTACTATAAGCGGTGCGTGTTCCCACAAGATGCATGCAATTCTCAGCGGGCATGTGTTTCTCAGCAGAACACCTGGGGCCTGTTCTATAAAGCAGGATTGCTACTTAGCGAGGTAACTTCGAGGGTAAGTTCGGGGTTTCCTGTTCTACGACGCAGGTTCACTTCTTAGCGAGGCGAGTCTCCATGGCAACATACGCTGAACGGCTAACCTGCTCTGGGGCAGGTTAAGTTCCAGATTAAACTCGCGGAGTGTAAAAACCCCGCCCACTGACCAATGAGCTCTCTCGAAAAATGGCTTGTCCGTTCTTGGAGGATCCTATAGACCTCGGTGCTCGCATTGTCCGAGGAGCACTCCAGCGCGCAAGACTTTTCAGGGACCGCACGGACCCACTTACTTCTCTGGATGACCACCTTTATAAAAGGCTCATATGGCCTTCATATCACACAAAAAATGTAAACATGATAGGAATGAACAAATGAATGAATTCATTGTGGAAATAAATGGGCATGGGCTGCATGGGCTGCATGGGCTATGTGATCACAGACAACATCTCGGTACTATTTAGTAGCAGCGCACGCCCCTTGTAATAACCCCCGTAAAAACTGTTGTTCAGGACTGCTTACTTCCTACCCACTGTAATAACCGTTGTTCTAGCCCACATGCAACATTTTTGTTCTCATTCATGACACGCTTAAATCAGGGACAGCTTTAGCCGGGGACAGATCATCCAATTCGGGGACTGTCCCTGCAAATCGGGGACGTCTGGTCACCTTAATTAAAAGCGCATTTTGAACAGTGCTATTTCAGGGTGATAATGGCATCAAAGATTAATTTTCTGCCAGCATTCCCTTTGTGCTTTTGCAGCGGCGACAGTGTTGCATTTGAGGTTTATGATAGATTTGAATTCTTCATACTTTCTCATGATCGTCTCCTGCTCCTTGTTTGTAAAGTCCACGGTCCTTTGCTCTCCGGTCTGCTCTGACGCTCCAGACTGGTCCGTGTTCGCGATTGGTCAGATGCGGCGGGCTCCGCCTTACATGCATGCACACGCTCATAACAAAGCTGGATCCACTTACGAGGTTGATAACCAGCGTGGTAAGACAGTTTAGCGAGACCGTTGGCTACCGCGCTAAGTTGAGCCCCTGATGAAGTTGAATACTGGGGTGATGGTATCACTTATTTTTGAGCCACAGACCTTGCATATCTTTGTTTTCTTCTCTGTATCAGCATCAAAAATGTAATCCTTGAACCCAAATTGTATTATTTGTGGTCTAGCTGCCTCCATGACAGCTCCTCCAGTGTTGATTTGCAGACCACGGACTAACAGCTGTCCACCTTCCACATCCAATAACACACACAGACAAGTGTGAATCATTTCTGTATCTGCTCCAGGGATCTGCAGCCTGCAAAGCAAATAGATCCCAATCCATGCACTGTATCAACAGACAAAAAGCAACACACAATCTCGGTCAAAATGAAAAAAGTAGCAAATTGCTTTTGAAAAAAAGTAAATGTAATATTATGACTCAAAATGTGAAAGTAATTCATGACACTACTAGTTACTGGAAAAAAATATTTTAGTTACATTTTAGTTACTTGGTTACTTTCACAACACTGGTCATGAAATGTACCTTTTGGCTCCAATCTTGTTAATGTCTGGATCATTGGCCTATGGCAGGAGGTACCACTGCTCAACATGCCAACACAAATAGATGGAGACATGGTGAAAATGGATATGAGCTACAAATCTGCAGCAGTGGCGCCCATAGCAAGTATGGACCTTCAGCCGTCGGCTGCTTCCATTGATGGGATGAATGGAGGTGCCTATCATGACAGATACTCAAGAAATAGGACATGGGGGATGATGAACGAGGGTCATGGCAGTGGCTACTATGCTGAGTACCAGGGCAGAGGATCAGCAGCAGGGGAAGGACTTTTCGATGGCATGGCTCTTCCAGACCACATCTTGGCACAATACTACACTCAGGTAAGAAACCAAACAAATATATCTGTTCTTCAATCTCAGATACAAAAAAAAAAAAAAAAAAAACTATTGCAATGCTTAAAAGAGTTATGACTCAAAAAGCTCAACTGCCTGTCCTTTGCCACAGTAAAACAAAAGAACTATTTTACAGATTCAGCTGTAGTAATCATTAGTATTGAAGAGGTGTAGTTGTCCCATGTTAAAATAAAACATTTAAATTCTAGTGCAATAAATACTTACATGATTAACTTGAGTAAAAGTGTCAATAACACAAAATAAATGCTTTATTTAGAGAAGAAATCCTGCATTTTAATTAGGGCTGCACAATAAATAGTTCACAAATGTCTATGGCAATTTTCACAGGAAGGTGTTATATTTGTTTAAGACAAAATGTGTGTTAAAATACACTTCATGCAGCAGAGATGTCATATCATATGACATCATATATTACGAACTTAACAATACAATTTTTTGGGGTGTAAATCCCTCCCAAAAGTCTCACAATAATCTCACTGTTACGTACCAAAAGATTTTTTAAGGGGATGAAAGAAAGTAACACTAGTTGAAATGGAACCCAGGTTAAATAACGGCATCAAGGTAATTTATCAAAACAGGAATAATGTTTATTTACAAAGTTTATGCCGACAAAACCACTAGTATAAACACAAAGAGTAAGTAAAATAACAAAGGAAACAGCTAAGGTACTTCAGGTTCCACCACCACTGGAAGCCTGTTCAGCTCAGCCACTGAACCACACCACAGTCACACCCTCATTTAAACAGGTCCACACAGGATCACTTACAGAGGAGGGAATGAGAGAGAGAGCAAGACCACAGCTCTCTCCTCCTTTGTATAGCCTCCTACTCATTAGCAGATCAGCCACACCTGCCACACCTCCACTGCAGCGGAGGAACCTGCAGGGAGAAGCAGCACACCAACACCCAGGGCATGTAACACTCACAATAATAACATTAATGTTTTTCAATTAATTATCACTCACTACAAATCATAAATCATCAATCAATTACACTATCAGTCAAAATAATAACAATTGAATATTTATTCCAAACCATGCAGTAATATTCAAAATCCTGCAACCATCTGAATTTACTAAAGTTATGAAAGACAAAGTCCTTTCTTGCAGAAAATCGGATGGTCACTGATGTATTTAAAAAAGTGTTACCAAGTATATTACTAATACTGACATGCCAATGCATAAGCAGCTATTTATCATTGCACATGCTCAACGTGGAGCAAGTTTGCTTCACTTTGTGGGGTTATAGAATAAGTGTTTAGGGATTTTAAACCAATGAAAAGATACTGAGTATGATTTTTCAAACGCCTACTGCTCTGGCTTCGTTTTTTTCCTTCCTTTTTTTTCTCTTGTTTAAATAAGAACTTGAAAAAGGCATGTTTGTTGTAGGTGTGCTCCTTGTATATTATATCACAATGCTGCTAGTATTAATAATCTCCCAAGAATCTCATTATAATGTACACACAGCAGTAGCGCCCATGACCCTTTCAAATATCTGAGGGAATTTTCCGGTTTGGGGCACTACCATTGCATAATTCAAAAACTAAAGCTTTAATTTGTGATGTAAAGTGAATACACACCTGCGTTTGTTGATTCTATAGTACAGAGATTTTTGAGTTTCAATTTGACAATTTTATATTGTGCTTATGTCATTTTTTAAAGTCAAATTACAGCAGTTTAAAGGGTTAACTTGGGCACTTTTATTTTTTGAACAGAAACTAGCTCGTGGAAATGAGAGTCTTGGGGTGGAGGACAGTGTTTTGGTCAATCACCATGAGGGAAAAGGCTCTCCTGCCGGCTCAGTGGGCTGCTGCAGCTTGTTGGAGTCTGACAACGACCTGCAGTTCCTAGATGACATTGGGCTAAAATTCAAGACCCTGGCTGAGGTATGTGGAGGCAAGAAGATCCAAACTGAAGTCAAACAAGTGTTCACTCCTCCCCCTAGTACCTCCATCAACGCTCAGACATCGTTGACAAGTTTGGTTACCACCCAGAAGCTGCCACCCCCACCCCAGTCACAGATGACCATCCCTAAAACTGAATGCACCATGGTCGAGAAGACAGTGAAGGAGAGCACAGTGAAGGAAGGGATGACTATAGTAAAGGAAGGGATGGCAAATCAAAGCCAGATGCTCCTTCTGCAGCAGCAACAGCCTGTCTATTACACCACCACCCCTGTACTGCAGCCAATGCACTATGTAGTCCAGCCACAGGTTCAGAATACTGTGCTGCTGGCTGAGGCACCAGCCACCAACCTGCAGGGCATGGTGCTGGTAAATGGAGCTCAGACTGTACCTGCTCAAGGCATGGTTGTCCAGGGGCAGACTGTGATGTCAACTGCACAAGGCCAGGGACCAGGCGTGGTGCTGGTGGGGGGGAGTGGAGTGCAGGGGGGGGGGCAGACCATGATGGTTGTGGAAGGCAAAGTCCCAGCAGGTTCAGTGAAAGTGCTGAGAGGGAGCCAGACCAATCTAGTGCAGGGGGGCACATTGCAAGCAGGGGGGCTCTCAGGACCTCACAGAGTCTTGGGAGGCAAAGTCCCAGCAGGGTCAGTGAAAGTGTTGAAGGGAAGCCAGACCAACCTTGTGCAGGGAGGCACTCTGCAGCTAGGAGGGTTTTCAGGATCTCAGAACATCATGGTGGTTGGAGGGGCAATGGCTAGTGAAGGGCAGAAGGACTCCTTTGGCTCCCAGGGAGTCAGCACATCTTCTGGCTCTAAAACCAGCCTGGTAAGTTCATCTACCACCACAGTAAAGGCAACACCTACCTACAGCAAGGCAGCAGTGAAGGAGAAATTCACTGAATTGTGATGGGGTAAAGAACTCTCTTTAATGCAGCTTAGCCTCTCAGTTATTTTAATGAGAGATGTGTGTGTTACTTAAAGGGTGGAGGGCGTGCTACAGCAGTTTGTGTAGGAATGAAGCTACATGCACCTACATGTTCAGCTATCCATGTCTATTTCAGCACACCTTACCTGGCTTTTTTAGGCACATTTTTTTCGTGTTTTTTAACAACTTTTTTTTTGCATGTAGTATGTAGAGACAGGAGTTGATTTTGTTTCAAAATGTTCAATATTTTAAGTAGTTAGTCCTCAGTGGCAAGGTAATGTTAAGATTGCATAATTGTTTTGAACAAAAGACCAGTGAAAACTTGGAGTTTCAATTGTAAATTAAATAGAGACCTCTTTTAATCCTATGCCACAACACTGGTATTCATTAGTGGACCCTGTTAGGACCAATGATCAAATGTGATGCTTTTACCAATCTATATTATTGGGTATAGTTTTTCATTTTCTTGTCCTGTTTGCTTTATTATGAAAGGGTTGCTGAGTCAGTCCAAAACTTGAGTCTATTGCCTCAATAACTGTTAAGGGGATTATAGAAAATGTATGCTAAAAATAAATAAATCTGAGTTGGTCTTCCCTCTAACCTCACCTAGAGGTCTTATACAAGGCTGAATTATATATGCCCTCCCAAGTGGGTTTTCAAACAGATGTCAAAGGCTCAGTGGATGAAAGAGGAAACAGTGATTAAACTTTGAAGATGTTTTTCAATCGGTCAGTCAAAATGCAGTAACGTTTACTTTAATTTGGAGGGAATTTTTACTTACCCAGATTTATAAAAAGCTCAGTTTTACAGAACAAACTTTGATTCGTACTCTGTATAGTATTAATGGATGCTAGTTGGTATGTAATTTTAAGGTTAACGCCAAGTAGATGATAATGTGATGGTGTAATGACTTTGATTCACCTAAGTAAAAAACTTCAAATATGAAATTATGCTTTATTTTTACAGATTTAAACAAGAATATTTCGATAAACCCTTTGAAGTGGAAGTTACTGAAATTGGATATCAATGCTTACAATTGGATTTTTTTTTGCTTGTTTGTGTGCTTGAGTAGTTTAAGCATTGAGTACAGAGCTTTATAATGTCTCTTTCAGGAAAATCAGATGAAAAGGTTTTATCTTGTGCTTTCATACTTCAATAAACCCTTTTGTACAGTACACTTTAAAAAGTCTATGACATCTGTCTTTGTCTGCATGAACCAACAACCTTTCGGATAATTAAAATGTGTGACTGTACAAACACACCCTAGAGTCCAAAGAAGCATGTTTTTTTTCCTCTGACACCTTTGTTATTCTATACTGTTGGCCATTACTGTGTTGGTGTTTGTAATGTGACTATCATATACCTGTGTATGTTTATGTTGCTGTTAATTGATACCAGAATTTGGCAATAAAAACAGACACTGGAGGAATGGAGATATCAGGAAAGAGCTGGCATTGGGCAGCATAAACCTCAACGTATGATCTACATATCAGAGAGCATCACTTACCATAACAATCAACTACTTAATCAATTTTTTGATTATGTATTGCCAAATCACAACAATCATTATCCCAAGATGCTTTCCAAAGGAGCAAACCTAGACCAAACTCTTTGTTTGATGTATTTCAAAGACCTAACCTCAAGATGGGAAAAGATTGAGTCCCATCTAGAAATTAGACCTACCCTTAACTAGGGCTGAGCATTTTTTTTGATTCTGGGGTATAAATCCGTAATTTTATTCCCAGCCTTGAGTATCAATACATTAAGTCTCATCAAAATCCCCTTTGTTCTGCCCGGCACTGTGCTAGCTGCCCCCCACCCCCACCCTGTTCGCTTTGCAAGAGGAGCGATTAGGTCAGCCAGCCTCTTTGTTCTACCGGACAGGTTTTCTACAGTAGATACACGCCTCAAGGTCAACACACAAACACTTTTCATAGCACATTTTAGTAAGAACATGTGAACAGTGGGGATAACTGGCCAATTCTACTCGATTGTGTTTAAGTCCAACCTCTGTCCAGAGCGATCCCTGCTCAAGAAGATAAATGTGAATTATACCCGGAAATGGGCACTTGTTGTTATGGAGATCCTAGGAGCTCTGTCATCGTGAGTCCAGCGCTGTACTACCTTACATGTGACCTAAATAAATGTTATATCCAAGAACTGAATATTTCTCTGGTTGTCTTTGAGCAGCCAACTAAAGAACAGTTTCCTACAAACCACTGGTGTTGCGAAAATGGCCCAAAAGTGCATTTTTGGTTTTCAGCCTAAACACTTTTCTCACCCAAACAACAGGACTTAAACTGATGTTGTGATGACGCAGGAAACCACTTGTCTGGGTAAGAGCCAACATGTCTGTGGTGTTGACATATTTCAATGTATCTAAGAACTATGGATAGCGATTAGCAAAGCGTGTAATGCTAACATTTCAAGATGGCATGCATCTGCAAAGAGTGTCTTCACGTACGGTTTAATTCATCACCTGATAGTCAAACATCTCAATCACCATTCTGATAATGAGAATGCTGCACAGAGCAGGAAATTCCCCCCCAGACATGCCCACTCCATCTGTGGTGAATGTTGTAGCCATACACACAAGTGGGTATTGGGGGAAGTTTAACCTATTATCACTTTTATTCATGACATTAAAAGAGATCAACATTGCAACTCAAACGTATACTCAGCTCCCACTTTCGGCTGCCTAAAAGTAGACACACTGGCTCTTCTTCAAGCTTCACCTTACTGCTCACAACACTTGCAGCAACATGCAGCAACACACTGACTTAAAAACTCACGTTGCAGTTGCATAAATTAATATTCATTTAGTATTTAATATTAATTAATATGAATTATACAATTGCAATGCCCTGATTTTAGTAAGATTACTACACAGTCATAGCCTTAAATGTTATGGTACTAATAACTGGCATAATGTGTGTGTGGTGGTATGGCACATGCCACCACACGCACCTGTCGGCTCCGTAAAGGAGGGACTGGAAGATAGAGGGAGAAGGAGAGACTAACAAGGTGTATTTAGGTGAACGCCCAGTAATTAGAAGCCCTGCTGCCCCTTACTGTAGAGAGTATAACTCCTTGTATAACTCCACACACACACACACACACACACACACACACACACACACACACACACACACACACACACACACACACACACACACACACACACACACACACACATCACACAAAACTTGCAACTCTGCAGTTTTTGTTGTAAATGTGGAAAGACATAATACTAACTCTTTTATACATAGAAACTACAAAATCAAAGACTGAAACATCCAAAGATGGAGACACACAACTAAATTAGATTTAAAAGAAATACAAAGTGCTTTACTACATGAGACAGAACAAACAAACATATAGACAAACAAACTAACAAACAAGCAGACAAACAAAACCGTCAAAAGGAATTATAGCTTGGTGTGCCACCTTTTGCTGAACAGCTTGTCACATAAGCTGTTTTGAGCCATCAGCAGAAACAGTAGAATATGCTTTATTGTTTCCAAACAAAGTCTAAGAGTAAGTCATGCAACTTTTATTGACCTTTTTTTTAGTGTGATTTTGGAAGGCAAACAATGACAAACTCTAGGTTTGTTTAAAATTTGGTTATAATTGTCCAAATGACCCGAGTGTTCAATGATGTGAGAGAAGTGAGTGTGACAGGAGGGGCTGAGAGGAGGGAGGAGAATTAGGGGGCTGACAGGTAAGAGCAGTACAGGGAAGAGCAGAGAGACAGAGCAGCTGAGGAGAAGGCAGGGAGGATAATGTGAGGGTTTGTTTGCATCAAAAGCTGCTTACATTCCTGTCTGCTTCAGACTGCTTGGAGGAACGTATCTCAGTGAGCGTGTAGCTACCACCTCAGTCATGGAGGGGAAATCAGGCATCATTTTACTGCTTCATCTGTCTCTCATGGTGAGTAGAGTGGTCCATTTTTTTGGTAAAATCTGCAGGTAAATGAGAAGAAAGTCACAGAATTAAAGCAATGCTGAAATTACAAAAAACATATTGTGAATGCGAAAAAGTATAGTATATAGTATATGCGATATGATTTATTTGCATAAGTCTTGTATCTGAAATAAGACTACACAGTAAAGAATGGACTAGTACTCAAATAAATCAAATATGAATAAAGGTATCATCTGCTTTCTCAAGATCATTCATATATCTCAGTTTTAAAATCATCATTTAAAATAGTGCCACACTGCCATTCTGCCTGTACATTATGTTCTCAGCCTCCTTTAGTCCCATCTAACTTTTCTAGGCCTAAAAACTACTATATCGTGTGAGTTTTACACGAAACCCAAGCTGGACAGCTCATAGAATCTGGAGTCCAGTCTGACAGACTTGAAATATTTGACTGGCTGTCCTATTGCATGAAATTTAAGTCGCTGGTCTTTTGATGGCCTCCCACCAAAGTCTGGGTTCTTCTTCATTGAATCTGCTTCACTCTGATTTACAAGGGCTCCCCAATAAAACATTTAATGGGACAAAATATTTGTTGTTCTGTCATGACTAGGACCCCATTGGATTGTTAGTTTAAAATTTGTGTTACATTTCGGGATTAGTTATTGACTCAAAGCTGATGAAAAAAATATCAAGAGGGTGTGGCTGTAAATCAAAACTGGCATGTGGGGAGTGGGATAATTTTGTTAAACTATTTTATAACAGATTTGATTTATGTGACCTTTAAGGTTATTTTCTGTATACTTTAATATTTTTAATCTTTACTTTAATCTTTACTCTTAATGTTTCATGATTCAGTAAACCTACAATATGCTTGTCTGGGCAATTACACTTTTTTGCTTTACAAAGGAAAAGAAATCTAAGCAGGTATTAAAAAAAGGAAGAAGAGAAAAAGACAGCTGCTTACTCCAGACAGATCTTTTCCCCAGGGAAACACATCATGAGAGTGTGTAATGGCCCTTGGCATCTTTAAGTAACCTTAAGTATCTGTGTAAAGTGTATCTGGCTGTTATAAAACTCCAATCTGAACCCACATTCTATAAGGTGAGCAACATACGGGGAGTCATTATGGTAAATAAATTTGCAAGAAAGAGCACGACAGACTGCTTTGGGAGGGGCCCCATGATGGATCCATCACAGGACTGACATGCCCAGCACTCGGTTTGTGTTGTGAAAAATGTCAACACTGAAACGTTGTTAAACCCAGACCATGTTATTTTGCTACACTTACCAATTATTTCCATTGCTTAAATCTTATTAACTACAACTGTTTCTATTTCCTGCCAGAGAGGGGTGAAAACAAATGCTGAATGTAGTCTTGGTTGCCTAAAACCCAGAGGACGTGAGAAGGTAGCAGCATTTGACAATATGTTGATGAGAACAGGTTGTCCAACTTGAACCCCATAATTGAATGTCAGTCAGAAAATCTTCTGTAACTGAACCTATAAATTAAAAACAGTTAAAACACTATGGAATTAAACAAATTAATATTTTAGAGGCAAAAGAGAAAATAAAAACCAGAGAACTATTATTACAGTACTTCATAGTATTTAATTAGATAAAGGTTATTGTTACAGTAAAATAATGGGTGGTCAGAAAAGGGCTAGCGCTCTGAGCTGTCTTATCAGAACCAAGTGACCTACACAGGCATGCAAAATAGTGGGTGCTCAAGAAAAGTAGAAAAAAGTCATAATACAAAAGCTTCACAAATGTCCCTGCTTGTGTTAGTTATGTCTACACCCACATGTCTACACCTACTTTCTTCTCTGAGGACAGCCTAAGGCAATCCACCAGTAAATTCATCAGTGACACTTTGATGGTTGGCTCTGTCAAGTCTGACAAAATATTAAAACTTTATTGTTCCTTACAAGGTTCTGTAGTTAGTGACTTAGTAACAGCCGCGATGCGATAACTGATATTTGTGAAAAAATGGTAAGAGTTGTGGTTACACAACAAACCTTGTGAGACACCTTGGGCTCTATTTTCGTGTCCGCTGGTGAGGCAGCGGACCCCGCGCAGTGGTATTTTTGTCTGGCGGAGCCTGGCGTACAGCCAGTTTGGTATTTTCGTGGACTGAGGCGCACCGAGGTCCGCCAAGCTGGGCGTGGTGGCGTGGCAGAGGTAGGTGTCGACAGAATCAGCTGCCACAGTGACATTTTCGTGCTCGAGGGTGGTGTATAAAGTGCGCTGAAAGCTTGCCGATTCAAACCTGGTCAGCTTTCAGTGCAGGCGGAGCACAGCTGGTCTAGTGGTATTTTGGTAGACCGGTGGCGTATCGGCAACTTTATGTGAGTGTCCATCTGTGCTCATATGAGAGAGTGTGAAGGACACGCTCTGCATCGTTTACAGCGACACTTGTTGAGGGGCTGCCTCCTGTCGCCATCGTGTGGCATTACTGTCTTCAGACATCTCTTGATCTCTTTGCCTACTTCACGATAATAGTAATACGCCTCACCAGTGGCGGATTTAAAGGTGAAGAGAGGACCTGATGTTATTGGTCAATACAGGTTTCGGCTGTGTTAAACCCACTCCATGCCCTCTCAACTCCTTCGCTACGACTTACGCCGCTGGGAGGAGCTGAGGTAAGGAGGGGGTCATTAAATTATACAGAGCAATTGTGATAAAACATTCATGGTGAATGTAGAAAAATATATGTCAGAAAAGATGGACAAAAATTAACACTTTATCGATAAAACATCTATCACTATTAACAACCAGTCTAATTTTCTTTTATTTTTTCCTTTTAACTGAATATTTTAACATTTTGGTATTGATAAAATTGTGCAATTATTGTGGCTTTTTTTTTTGGTTTACAAGACATAATAGGTGTATTTGCACAAGTATCAGTATCAGATCAGTATTGCCGATACTAGCCTTAATTTTACTTTGTATCGGATCGGAAAGGAAATCTGTGGAATTAATTTGGAATTTAACATCACAACTGTAAGTTTCTTACTGACATAAAACATTTATTACATGTACACAAGCTGCTTTAAGGCGACATAAATTATGCATAAATGCATTACATACAATCCTGATGTTGGACATTGATGCATTTTGGACATTTCCAACCAAACATGCTAAAGTCGCTAAAATAAGTCACTGGAATAACATGAAGAAGTCCTTAAATTTTTAAATGAAGAGCAGCTGTGTCCAAGATTACACACCACTCACTACAAAGCACTGCATGGTGACTATACCGTTATCTGGTGCTGTCTAAATCATGAGTGAGAATTATTACACCCTATCAAGTGGACTCATTGTACAGCACAATGCAGTGTAAAAAGTATTGTTCAACTGCAAGTCACTAATCAAAATTAATGCATAAAGGGAAAATGGTACAGAGGGGCTACCAGCACTCTGTCTGATGATAATTTAGATTGTTCTCCTAATTAAAGGAATTACAATTAATGACAGGGTAAATATTTTATAGTATTTTTACAGAATAAAGCTGTTTTATGAGGAGCAGAGGTCATTTCAGACAAGGCCATTTTAGTTTTTCCGGCATGGTAAATAGACTTGTGAGAAGCCCTCCTCTTGCTCTTCTAACGTCCGTCCTTGTGGGCTCTGTGGTAAAGTGTTTGATATTATTGGCCACTGGGTTACTAAAATGGTTAACCTCCCCCTCTTCACTGGTGTGTTTCCCAGTGTTTTTAAACGTGCCATAGTAGAGCGTCTACTCAGACAGGCTCAAATCTGACTGGCCTAAATAATTTCAGGCCTATCTCCAAGCTCCCGTTCTTGTCCAAGATCTTGGAGAAGGTGGTCTCAAAACAGTTTTCATTTTTTTCTGGATCAAAATAACATCCATGAGACATTTCAGTCCAGGTGCCTCAAGCATCACTCTATGGAAACGGCTTTACGTAAAGTGTCCAGTGACATTGGCCCTCATTTATCAAGAGTTCATACGGTAGAAAACTTACGTACACCTTGCGTACGTAAGTTGCGACGTGAGGATTTAATCAGTGATAAAAATCCAATAGAAATCCATAAAAATGTGCCTCAGGGGCAGCAACACACTGTTTGGTGACGTTAATAATTATTTTTGTTCATCCTCTGTCAGACTCTCCAGTCTGCTCTACATTACAAATTAAAACTAAATACTTTCAATAAACACATGGCCATAAAAAACATTAGGGTTGTATGAGATATAAATTTATCATCATGAGCAACTTATTGACTAATGATTTATTCAAACTTCAGCCACTGTCAACTATTCTGTAGCAGCGCTGTTCACCGCCACCATAATCTTGCTCCAGACAGGAGTTTTCTGGACTGCTTTTATACCAATTTTGATACTTCCAAAGAGCAAATCCTTGTTAGTTTCTACCACAGACGCGAGGATATCCACTTTCAGCTCTGAAAAGTTTCGAATCTTTTTAATATTTCTCCTCTTTCATGTTTGACCTCAGTGGGCGAGGCTTCTGAACCACGAATATTTAAGGGCGTTACATGTTAATGACGATCGATGTCAGCCGCCGCATTTATCAAGACCCAATCATACGTACACTGGGATTGGTCAGATACGAACCCTTTCATAAATCTCATGTGTGTCCTATCGTACTATGAATCCTGCACTTAGATCTGCGCTTAGTTCTATGCAAGATTGATAAATGAGGGGCCATTATGATGTTGGCTGACTCTGGAAAATGCTCTGTTCTAGTTCGCTTGAATCTGTTCCCAGCCTTTGACACTGCCGAGCACCTCATCCTGCCTTGTCTTGTCTGCAATTAGTGCAGCATTCTGACCCACGTGAATAGGAAGACTCACATATCCCCTATTCTTAAAGCTCTACATTGACTGCATGTGTCCCTTAGGATCAATCTTAAAATTCTGGTCCTAACATTTAGAGCCTTGCATGGTCAAGCTCCATCTTAGATCTGCTATCTGATCCAGCCTCACACCCCTGTTCAGGCTCTGAGGTCTGTGGATCAGAATCTACTGATGGTTCTGCCCACTTATTTTTGGACCAAAGGTGACCGATCTTTCCAGGCTGTTACTCCCAAGCTTTAGAATGATCCTCCTCTCTTTCTTTGCTTAATAGACTCAGTTGACTCCTTTAAAAGCCAACTCAAGGCATATTCATTTGCTCAGGCTTTTATTTAGTTTTTTTGGGCTGCTATGATTTTTAATGGTGTCTTGGCCTTTTAAATTTTCATGTACATTTTGACTTTTTGTTTATTTGAAGCACTTTGTGAATTTTTGTTCGTGAAAGGTGCTATATAAATAAAGTTGACTTACGTACTAAGTAGTAGTAGTTTATTTGTCCCATAGGGAAATTGCATTGCAACAGATCACAAATTTGGCATCTCATCAAGAACAGTACAGATAAAAAAAAATAAAACAGCATGTTAACAACTTTCACACGTAATTAACAGTAAAAATACACTCACCGGCCACTTTATTAGGTACACCTGTCCAACTGCTCGTTAACACTTAATTTCTAATCAGCCAATCACATGGCGGCAACTTAGTGCATTTAGGCATGTAGACATGGTCAAGACAATCTCCTGCAGTTCAAACCGAGCATCAGTATGGGTAAGAAAGGTGATTTGAGTGACTTTGAACGTGGCATGGTTGTTGGTGCCAGAAGGGCTGGTCTGAGTATTTCAGAAACTGCTGATCTACTGGGATTTTCACGCACAACCATCTCTAGGGTTTACAGAGAATGGTCCGAAAAAGAAAAAATACCCAGTGAGCGGCAGTTCTGTGGGCGTAAATGCCTTGTTGATGCCAGAGGTCAGAGGAGAATGGCCAGACTGGTTCGAGCTGATAGAAAGGCAACAGTGACTCAAATAACCACCCGTTACGACCAAGGTAGGCAGAAGAGCATCTCTGAACGCACAGTACATCGAACTTGGAGGCAGATGGGCTACAGCAGCAGAAGACCACACCGGGTGCCACTCCTTTCAGCTAAGAACAGGAAACTGAGGCTACAATTTGCACAAGCTCATCGAAATTGGACAATAGAAGATTGGAAAAACGTTGCCTGGTCTGATGAGTCTCGATTTCTGCTGCGACATTCGGATGGTAGGGTCAGAATTTGGCGTCAACAACATGAAAGCATGGATCCATCCTGCCTTGTATCAACGGTTCAGGCTGGTGGTGGTGGTGTCATGGTGTGGGGAATATTTTCTTGGCACTCTTTGGGCCCCTTGGTACCAATTGAGCATCGTTGCAACGCCACAGCCTACCTGAGTATTGTTGCTGACCATGTCCATCCCTTTATGACCACAATGTAGCCAACTTCTGATGGCTACTTTCAGCAGGATAATGCGCCATGTCATAAAGCTGGAATCATCTCAGACTGGTTTCTTGAACATGACAATGAGTTCACTGTACTCAAATGGCCTCCACAGTCACCAGATCTCAATCCAATAGAGCATCTTTGGGATGTGGTGGAACGGGAGATTCGCATCATGGATGTGCAGCCGACAAATCTGCGGCAACTGTGTGATGCCGTCATGTCAATATGGACCAAGCTCTCTGAGGAATGCTTCCAGCACCTTGTTGAATCTATGCCACGAAGAATTGAGGCAGTTCTGAAGGCAAAAGGGGGTCCAACCCGTTACTAGCATGGTGTACCTAATAAAGTGGCCGGTGAGTGTAGGTAACAACATCATAATCACACTTCCTAAGTCTCAACTTTAACCTGATTAGACCAGCTGAGCAGGCTGTAGGTGACTAACTGGCTATTTGGTATAAAGGCATTTAATGGCCTGCGGCACAAAGGAAAATTTCCTCTGTTTTTAGTAAACAGTGGGGGGCGATATCGTCGCCCAGAAGGCAGGAGGTTAAAAGAGTGGGCAAGGGGGTTCCTTTGGTCACCTATAATGTTCCTTTTTCCTTTTTTCCTGTCCTGTCTCTGTAGATGTCTTCCATACATGGCAGAGTAGTGCCCAGTAACTTACAGGATATGGATATAATTATTTCTAACCCTCTTTTTTCTGTACCTCTGTGGCATTGCCGAACCAGCAGGTAATACAAAAAGAAAGAATGCTTTCGATAAAAGCGCAGTAAAACATTTGGAGCATTCTCCTTTCAACATTAAAAGACAGAAATTTCTTTAAGTGGAACATTCTTTGTTGAGACTTGGTACAGATTTGATCTGTCCACTTCTCCAACATAAGCTTACAGTCAAGCACGAAGTATTTAAACTCTGAGACTTGTTGAATTGGCTTTCCCTTGATTAAAGTTACTGTATTGGGGGCTTCCTCTTTTCTAAAATCTTTACACATTTCCTTGGTTTTTGAAGGATTGAGGAGAAGGTTTGACTTATCACACCAGTTAGTAAAGTATTCAAGGACTGGACCATGCTCCTTTTCCTCATCATATAAAAGACTGACCAGGGGTCTCATTTATAAAGCTTGCTTAAGCACAAAACCTGTCTTGGAAGGGCGTACGCCACTTCTTATGCAAGAGTTGGGCTCTATAAAAAAAAAAAACTAGCCTAGGAATGTGTGCAACTTTAAGCAAACTCCACACCTAGCTTACGCACTTTTTGGAGACGATTGGAGCAAGGTGAGAACAATTGGTTAATGGAGAGCGCGCGTAGAAAAAGCCATACAGTGACAGTCGTGTGCAATGCAGCACAATGGATGCACTTGCGCTTCTCGAAGACCATGCCAATGGACGGATCCGGCTGGAGAGGGTGTTCCAAGATCGGGAAGATTTCCTGGTTTATGATGATGAATGGCTAAAAAGCCATTTTAGACTCCCTAGAGCCATGCTCTTGGATCTAATTGCTGAATTAAGTTCAATTTTCGAGCACCCAACACACTGGAACCGCGCCATACCAGCACACGTTAAGGTGCTGACAACAGTTGGTTTCTTGGCAACGGGCTCGTTCCAGAGGGAATTGTCGGACAGGTACTTATTATGACAGTTATATCACAATATAGGCGTAATTTAAATGTACAGATTCACGAAATATAAATTAATAATAAATTCTGTGCTAACAGGTCTGGGATCTCGCAGCCATCCCTCAGTGCCGCACTGCCAGCTGTTTTGGATGGGATCATCGAAATGACCAGTCGCTACATCAGGTTTCCCTACACTGTTGTTGAACAAGCCAACAGCAAAAGGCAATTTGCAGCAATGTCCGATTTCCCTACTGTAATCGGCGCAATTGACTGCACCCACATTGCTATAAGAGCCCCCAGCGAGATTGAATATGTTTATGTAAACCGAAAAGGTGTGCACACCATAAATGTCCAAATAATTTGTGACTCCTCAATGGTGCTCACAAATGTAGTGGCACGGTGGCCTGGCTCAACACACGAGTCATTCATTTTGGCGCACAGCGGTGTAGGGAACAGACTACAGGCAGGTGCTGCTCTTTATGACTGGCTCCTTGGTAAGTATTACACTAACACCATAGCATTCCCACACAACTTTATTTGCTGTGTCGGGGAAATTCTTCTCTACATTTGACCCAGTCTGTTGCTGCCACTTGAACAGCATTACTGAGTTGCGCTCTTGGAATGCAATTGGATCCCACTTGTTAATAACTCTGGTTATACCTCGCAGGTGACAGCGGCTACCCACTGAGGCGGTGGCTCCTCACACCATTTCCAAACCCGCAGAGCGCAGGGGAAGTGCGCTTTAACGTTGTGCACGGCCGTGCGCGCTCTGTTGTGCAGAGCGCCATTGGTTTATTGAAGAGTAAGTGGGTGCTAAAATGCCTTGGGGGACAGGCTACTCTACCACCCCAGAAAGGTGTGTAAAATCATACAGGCGTGTGGGGTGCTGCACAACTTGGCAGTGAGGAACGCCATCCCCCTCCCACCTGACCCCCCACCCCCCCGCCGCCACACGTGGACCCCGACCCACAGACACCTCCCCGGCATGACGAACATCAGCATGGAGCAAGGCTACGTGAGGAAGTGATGCGGCGTGTGTAAAAAAGCAAGTGCAAGTGCGTTTCACTTTTTCACCAACTCTTACTGCGTCCATTGCCGCCAACATTATGTCACACATGTTCTGCAAGACTGTGCATATTTGTGCCAGTTCCTCCCTCACTTCTCGGATGGCTCCGATAGTGTCCCTCTGTGTCTGCAGGACAGTCTCTGTGAGGACCCGGCCGCCTCGGGCCTGCAGCCAGTGTGCCAGACATGCTGGGAAGCACCTCCTCTTCCTCCACCTCCTCTCCCACTGCTTCCAACTGCAAAGTGACTGAGGACACAATGCACATTATTTCTTGCCACGTGTCTGTACAAACATTTGATCCGATAAACGGGTAAAATTGTAACTTACCACTCTCCTCAGTCTGTGCAAAATCTGTGTCCCCCTCCCTCTCACAATGCCACACACACTGGCCCTTCCAATAACGGAGGCAATTTTGCAGTGAAGTGGTGTTGTTAACTCTGTGGTCTGGCCGCCACCTGTGTGTAAAATTTGTAGACTTTCTGCTCAGTCAAATGTTGCAAGGTGCTGGCAATATCACAGAAAAGGAACCTTGCGAGCATGATTCAGAAGTTACTTCTCATTCAACATTTTCGTTTCAGGATTTAGCATTTAATTTGAAATGTAACAAATAGTTTCCACGTTAAATATTTTGACTTCGACAATTTCAGTTTTTTTTTAGAATTTACAAATGTGCAAAAAACAAATTCCATCAGGCTCATTTATATGTAAATCACATTCATGAGGTTATTTGCATGACCATACGTGGTGAATTGTGGGTGTGGAGAGGGCAGGGCATGAATCAAATCCCTGCTGCGCAACTTTCCGGCTGGTCTGTGATTTATAAAGGGAAAGTGCGTGCAGGTGTGCGTAAGCAGTGTTTTATAAATCAGATTTTTTGGGGGCGTACGCACTTTTCAGCTTTTCGACTTACGTACACTTTTAGTATGGATCCTACGCCAGGTTTTATAAATGAGGCCCCAGGGCAGTATCAACTGCATACTTCATAAAAAATCTATTTTGAAAGGTGCTAGAACATGAACTAGTATATAGAATAAATAAAAGAGGCGACAAGACACATCCCTGAGGGGAGCCAGTAAAAGTGATCGCTTTTTCAGACAGTGATGCTCCTACTTTGACCTGCTGGATTCTACCACTGAGAAAATCCACAATCCAAGCAATCAGGTCAGCTTCAAGTGCAAATTCGCTCGATAATACATTTGCTAACATTTTGGGCCTGATTGTATTAAAAGTGGATGAAAAATCAGCAAATAAAATCTTAACATGAGCCTTAGGCTTCTCAAGGTGACTATAAATTAAGTGTAAAAGAGTTGCGATGGCGTCATCCACCCCTCTGGATGTTTGATAAGCAAATTGCAGGGGGTCTAAGAGATGCTGTGTTTTGGTCAAGATAAATTTCTTTACAAGGCGCTCAAAACATTGAGGGTGAAGGATGGTTTCTCCCTACTCTTGTGTGGTATACATGTCATCTTTTTAACTCCCTGCCAAGCCTCTCTGGAGTTACTAGAGGTCAGGGAGGCCTCTAACTTCAATTTATAATTGTGTTTGTCCACATGCACCTGTCTCTTAATTTCTCTTTTTAGTTCCTTCCTTGTGTGCTCATCCTGATCTCTATAAGCTTTCCTTTTCTGAATAGTAAGTTTCTTTAGTATTCTGGTAAACCATGGCTTACCATTTGGATAAACTTTGAATGTCCTATTTGGCAACACAGAATCAACACAAAAATTGATGTAGCCGGACACTGCCTCGACCTGATCATTAATATCAGTTGTCTCAAAGACTTCCCATAAAGTACAATCAAAACAGCCCTGCAATGCCGTGGTGCTTTCATTGTCCCACACTGTAACAGGGGCGGAGATAAACCACATTATGGTCAGATGCTCCAAGTGGAGGGAGTGGAGTTGCTGTGTATGCGTTCTTAACAGTTCCAAAACATATGTCCGGTGTCTTTTTCTTTCTTGTGTGACAGTCCACATATTGATAGTAGGTGCGCAGGGACTTTTTGGCAGGACAGTTATTAAAGTCACCAAGGATCAACTTAGGCGCATCAGGGGAGAGTGCCTCAAGTTTTTCGGAAATGTTAAAAATAATTCCATTGACTTTATTAAAATCAGCCTTTCGGTGTATGTACACCAGGGTAAAAAAGATCTGAGGAAACTCTCTTGGCAAATAATATGGTCGGAGTGAGACACACAGCAGTTCTATGTCGGGGGTGCACAGTTTCTCTCTCATCTTGACAACCCGGCACCATTCATCTCTTACGAGAAGACAGACTCCGCCCCCTTGTGTCTCCTCGGTGACGTTCGGGTCTCGGTTGGCTCGGAATGCCGAGAAGCCTGCTGGCTCCACTGCGCTTGATGGAGTGCTACTGTCAAACCATGTCTCAGTGACCGCTAAGACACAGGCACTCCGATGCTCATGGACGTAGCGAACGTTGGCAACCAGCTCATCTGTTTTAGCTCTTAGAGACTGCGCGTTGATCAGCAGCGTGACAGGCAGTGGAAGTTTATTTTTCAGCTTTTTTAGCCGTTGATGGATGCCACTTTTGCATCCACGTTTTCGCTTCATTTGCCGTGTTTTTTCGATTGTTGCTGCTGCAGTTGTAGTTTTAAGGCATTCTGGGATCAGTTCAGTGACAGCTGAAGGAGCCACAGGTGCGTGATTGCGTAACGGCAAGAGGGTCTCCCTGCTGTAGTAGTGGATATCAAGGGCAGCGCCGCCAGCAGCATTGTCGTTGAATTCTTGAATGAAATAAATGTTTAAAAGTCCCCAGAACAAACAGATCGTCCACCATAGTGCAGGATCCATAGTTGCTGTTTAGTTCCAGGGCGTGCAAAGCAAAAGGAACTCACATATCCACGCAAACAGATGCACAAAGAAACTACGAAATGCCAACGTGAGACACTGCAGGGCAGCCACAGAGCAGCCCCCGGATGTGGGCGCTGCTCTGTACCTACTTCCGGGGCCCCACTATGTGTATACCACACTTTCTTAAGACTTCTGACTATGCAAAGCTCTTTTACATCACATCATATTCGCCCATTGACACCACATTCACACACTCATGGCAGAGGCGGTTATGTAGAGTTGATCAGTTTTTGGCTAATTCCATCTCCACACCACTGGACACAGCTAGTGGGGTGTGTCAAGTGTCTTTCCGAAACTTTGGCATGTGGACAGCCCTGGGATCAAACTCCCGACTTCCCGATTGGAAGACGACCAAACCTATCACAGAGCCATAGCCGCCCTTTACCAAGAGCTATCTGATGATCCTGCCAGTAGCATATGTTGAGAATAATGCATGGAAGTTGCATACGGTGGGTACAGTAAAACTGGATTATTAAATCAGTTATGGTTATGGTTCCTTGAGACCACAATCAACAAGACAGATAAAGGTGTTGTGGCACAGAATATAGGTTTTCAGTACTGAAAATCTTATATGTTTATTTCTATTATTAGTAAAAATATTCTTATTGTATTGTCACCACAAAAATATATGTGAATTTTTTATTGAGTCCTTGAACTTTAAAATGTGTGACATGTAATGACATCATCATTCAGCATCAAGCAAAACGTCCAGCAGCCCATTGTGCTCATTGCTGAGCTCTCTATATTAAATCCAGTACATCTAACCTGCTATTTAGGGGGCAGTTAAAGAGTCAGTAATTCAGACACAACTCTGGTAGTAGAATAGTGCATGTGAGTGTGTGCATGAGTGATGGATTGAACATTATAAACCCCTCTTTATTTAGGTTAATCTCATGTTGATGTTTTAATATATCTACAAATCATCCTCAGGACTTAGGCTGAATAACATATAATTTACTGCCAAAAAGCCTGTACTTTTAACCTTGCGTCAATAACATGGTAGCCAGCTAACATGCTAACAGAGTGAACAGCATGAACACAAACTATTGCTCAGTAGATTTGGGACATGCAGCTACAGCTCTCATCGTGGCCTGGGGGTGAACAGGTGTTGGAATAGCTTAAAACATGTGACTACAGAATGAATGACCTCTCACTGCTAGCACTGATCAAAGCTTCTGGTTTGAACCAGGGGGAAAGTCTGATTTGACTCACCACACCCAGATGATATATCCCCAAAGCAAAAAAAAGTAACTACATCTGAGAGAGAATAGCTGGTGGTGATGGGTCCAAACTTGAACCTCTGTGAAAGTCTGCGGGATAAAATTACTGTCACCACCTACAGCTAAATTGGGATGAAGCTGTCTTGCTCTGTCTCAGTGGAAGGGACTTTTAAACATGATTTATTGCCAAGCAACATAGGTGACAGCAGCTAAAACTGCTTAGTGTGTGTTTATATGTAATCAACCTGACATTCCTGCATTTCAGATGGCGAATGCTGCCATATTTACTCCTCTAACCACATCTTGAAACCAACAGTGTCTCAGCTGCTCCTTGTTAGCATAACATTAGCCTCAGCTGCAGGTCATATTCTGCTGCAAATGTGTCAAGGCCAACATGAATGGTTTTTAAATGTCTTAGGGGTCTTGGACCTTCTTATCTTTCAGAATTGCTTTTACAATATGAACTCTCACGGACCCTGAGATCCTCTGGCACTGGCCTTTTAATAGTCCCCAAAGTTAGAACACGAACTTACAGTGAGGCATCTTTCCAGCACTATGGCCCCCGTCTTTGGAATAGCCTGCCAGAGGACCTTAGGGCAGCAAAGAATATTCATATTTTTAAGAGCAGGCTCAAGACCCACCTATTTAATTTGGCTTTTAACTAATGTCTTATTTTTAATCTATATTTTTATCCTATTTTTATCGTATTTTAGTTCATTTATATATTTTAGTCCTCATTTTACATGTTATGTTTATTCTATTTATTCACTTATTTTTTAATTATATTTTAGCTATTTATCAGTATTTTATAATTTTATCTAGTTTGATGTTTTTAGCTGATTTAGTCTATGTTTTTATTGCAATTCTCCAGTGTTTCCTCAGTAGGGGGCCCACCTGCACTGGAGGCTGTGACTGGCTCTGTCTAGGGCAGGGGTCTCAAACTCAATTTACCCGGGGGCCGCTGGACGTAGATTCTGGGTGAGGCTGGGCCGCACCAGGTTTTTCACAAGAAAAGCGCTTACAAAAACATTCCATTGTTATCAAATGTCACTGTGCACTGCAACTTTCTCTGTGCAAATAAGACACGTCGGGATGCCCCTGTGCTCAACAAAGAAATATTGCACTTCCCACTTCTCCTGAAATTGTCTGTGCTCATCACCAACCTTTCTCTTCACAGCAGGCTTTGAAAAAGACATGTTTGGGGCTTTTGTAATATAATTGATTCCACTTGATGTCACTGTCACGTTAAAGTTTCAGTTTCGGTGTTTAACCGATGCGTCATTTCCGCTTTTTTTCTGTCCCGCTGAGTAACAACTTTCGGGTTCCGACTGAGCGCGAAGCGCGTGAAGCGGGAGCGGCCGCGACATTACACACGTGCAGCATCCCATCAAAGTGCCCTTGCTCCTCGAGCTGTTTTTCCAGAACAATCATGGATATGCCGCTATGTTTTCCTGGCTGTACGAAACACGTTTGTACACTTTATCCAAGAATTAAAGTTGGCTACAGGGCTATACACACACACACAGAGAGAGACAGACCAGCGCTGTAGACTAGGACTTGTGTAGATATACTGATGCCATATGTTTTCACCGTCTGTGCATAAAATGAAAAATATAAAATGCACACAAATATGCAGATACTGAAATAATGAAAATTGACCGGTGTAACAGGTGTTGTGCCAAAAATGATTGTCTGCCAGAAACATATTTCCGGTCGCGGGAGCGCAAAAACGTCAATTTCTCTGGATTAAACGGTCATAATATGCAGGGACACACAGCTGTATTATACTGTAGTTATAGCAAAGGCGTATGTATTTGAAAGTTTAACGTTTCTTGTTTCGTTATTATTACAACTGGCCAAAAGAAGCCAAGTTAGTAGCGAAATCGGGCAATGTAAATACGTGATACATGTCTCTGTGCTTGGTATGTGTCATGACTGTATTGGTTGCTTGTCAATAAACGCGACCGGAACTCAGTTTCTGACAGACAATCCCCTTTTCGCACAACACCGGATTCTCTCGTTATTTCATGTGTGACTTCATGCAACGATCGACAAGAAGGCTCGCGGCTCGTGACTCGCGCAAAAATAGAACAGACGCCGAAAGGAAGTGGTCGTCGTTCCGCGGCGCTTCCGCATCCGGTCGCAATGTCGCGAGCTCGCAATAAGCCCGGCAGATGTCCCGCCCCCGAGAGCCATATACCCCACCGTGATTGGTAGGTTTGTCCAGCTCTTCACACAACACTGAAAAGTGTCAATCATATCAAACTCGCGGGCCGCACTAATATTAAACTTTCGTATCAAGGCGGGGGCCACAAACTAAAGTCCCGAGGGCCGCAGTTGGCCCGCGGGCCGCGAACTTGAGACCCCTGGTCTAGGGTTTCTCTGCCTCATGGTGTGCGCTCAGCTCGGCCAGATGGTGGTCTGCAGCAGTGCTTGCTGCTGTGGGCCCCTTACTGGCTTGTAGCGGGGTGCACACCCGGGTGGAGGTGTCCTGGCCCTGGGCCGTGAGCAGCAGTGTGTGTGTGTGTGTGTGTGTGTGTGTGTTGGGGTGGGCTCTCGGTGAGGGTTGGGGGGGTGGGGTGGCGGGCTGGATATGGGGGGGCTCATTGTTTTAAATTGTAAAGCACTTTGTTCTGCATTTCTTTTTGCCTAAAAAGTGCTATATAAATAAAGTTTGATTTGATTTGATGAAGTCAGTCCAAAGTCAACTTAGGTAATGTTTTCACTTTGTCGTGAAGTCATTTGCATGAAATACCAAGTCGCAATATTTTGAGAAAATTTGAATGTTATTTTATATGACCTGAGCTGAGAAAAACAGTTGTTACATACAGTACAGTTTCTCAAAGTCACAGGAGTTCCCCCATGAAAGCAGAAACTCTGGCTAAGTGTTCTCTTTTCTCTGTAGCTGTTGGGAGGAGCTGCAGCCAGTGACCCACAACTCAGACGCTACAAGAGGAACTGGGTTGTACCAACACGCAGGCTAAAAGAGAACATAGACTACACTGATAAAGGCCATGTTGCAAGGGTAAGAAGTTCTCAAATATCATTCCTTTCACAGTATTTTATCACAGTAGTAAGGGACTCCTGAGTATTTCTTTACAGCTACCTGGAAAAAAGTTAGATGCAGTACAAAACAGTGGTCCACAGAAAGGCTTGGGTTTTAATGCAGTTCTAAAAACTTTGCTGCCCTGTGGTACTAAGTTCTTAGAGCCACAGCTGCAGTTTCACTTCTATAGATTCAGTTTTCTGTGCAGGCTATATAATTAAAAAAATCTGATCTGATGTATGAAGAAAAGGATGACAAGGACCCACTCAGGCCTGCATACCATTCCAGCAGTTAAGAGAGTCATCCTGCTTTTTGGTGAGGCATGAAAAAGGATCAACAGAAACCTGCATGATGGGTAATGCTTGTATTAAATTGGCACCAACAGCAGTAAAATCCACCAGGGACATAAAATATCATATATTTACTGTCATATAGTATTCCTTTTTGCTTCAGGAACATGATTTGCGTCCAACTTGTAAATACACAAACCATGCCTGGGGACAGAGAAGAGTCGAAAAAAATTCTACAGCATCAGCGAGGATTGACAGAACTAACAAAATTTCTCATGATACATAGGTAGCAGCCGACACTGTGCACATCCGTCCACAAGTCGCCAGATTTGCATAGCCGTCACACCTGCCAGTGTACCAAATGGGGCCCAGACCTTCAGGCTGATAGTCTAAATAATTGGTCAGGGGCTGTTAAGGGGCAGACTGTACAGACCAAACACGCCATAATTTTAAATTTAACGGTCAGTGCGAGATGTCACAGCAGGTGAACATTGGCCATCGGTAGCATTCAGCAGGCGTGAAACAACAGCAGGGAGAGTGGTAAGTTTTAAATCAACTGCTTTGCTCAACATAATACTGACCTTAAATGTTATCAGCATGTATTTTTCTTTCTTTCTTGGGCCATCATTGAAAGTTATTTTCTGAATGACAGATGATTCTGTGGTTCTAGCGTTGGCTAACGTTAATGTAAGTAGCAGGTTCGTTATGAAAATACTAAAATACATCACAATTCAGTGACATAACTGCCCTGTTTTCATCGTAAGATGACTGCATGGCTGAAAATGTAGTTCAATGGATCGTCAATGTTACCAAGCGCTAACTTGTACACTGATATGGAAGGCCATCGGGCTCAAAAACATGCAAATTCTAACATGAACAACATGTTGACAACATGTAGATAATGCGTAGACAACACATAAACAACACGTGAACAAGCGCCATAAGCTGAGAGCCATAAGTTCTCATTGGCTCCTGGGCAGTAGGATTAAATCATTTCTGTAAGCCTGGGGGGTTTCAAAACACTATTTAACATAATAAGGAACTTCGTATTTCTTTGCTTTTTTCTTCCTTTATCATGTAGTTCATAAAAAAATTATCATTTCCCTCCCAGCAAAAAGTGTTTGAAAAGATGCCTTCGCCATATGTCTTAACAATGTTTAAATGTGCTTCCTCTGTCCAGCTAACTGTTCGGAACAATGTATCTGTATTTACATACTTCCAGGAATCCAGGCTTTATCATTTCCCTTGGTTTGGAAAAGCAGACAAGGGAAGAAAATAAAGCACCTGCCTCACTGCATCCAGTTAGCCAAGACGTCTTCTCATACCAGCTCCGTGAAAAAGCCAAGTATATCTCCTCCCTCTGTCTTCGGACTGCTGTATAATTAATACATCCGGTCAGTCAGGTCCAAGCTCCTTCATTCTCAATTTCTCCAGCAGTGTTCTCCTCTCAAACGGCATTGTTTTCAATCAATCAATCAATCAAATTTTATTTATATAGCGCCAATTCACAACAGTCGTCATCTCAAGACGCTTTTCAAGGAACAAGAGCAGGTCTGGACCGCGCTCATTGTTTGATGATCAAGAACCAACCTAAGATGGGTTTTGGCCCATCTCAACTAACATGAGTAGCAGTGGCGAGGAAAAACTTCCTTTTAACAGGCAGAAACCTTGGGCAGGACCAGACTCATGCTAGACAGCCACCATGCCGCTGCTGGGTTGGGGAGGAATGTAGAGAGAAGAGGGGAGAGGGGGAGAGGACAGGGGGAGGGAGAGAGACAGCAAGATAGGGGAAAGGCGAGAGAGAATTAGTACGGAGAGGGAGGGGGAGGGAGAGAGAGTAGGGAACGAGGGTGAGAGAGAGACAGGAGGCAGCAGGAACAACAGCAGCAATGACAACAGCTCATGTAATGGTGAAACAAAAAGACGTTCAGTTTACAGGTTTAGGATATGAGTGATAATGGACAATGTTGAATTAATTGAGTGTGATTACAGTTAGCAGGCTTAATCGTAGTCAATTCTATTTTGTATGTCAATAATGACAGTGAGGCTGATGTTCATGTCTGCAGTAACAGTAACAGCAACAGTCCAGAGGAATCAGAGAGAAGAAGGAGCTCAGGGCCGGGGGGGGGGGGGCAGCAATGGTCCAGAGAAGCCAAAGAGCCAAAGAGATGGAGGAGCTCAGGGCCCAGGGTGGATGCAGCTGGGGTCAGGCAGTTCCTCAGCAGACCGTTTGCAGCATTAGTCCAGTGGCAGCTAAAGGACTCAGAGACACTCAGAGAGACAGAAAACTGGTCAGTGACTTATATGGGACATAAAGATCTAAAGAGGAGATAGAGACGGACTCTAGCTCAGTGTGCCAGATAGCCCCGGCAGTCTAGGCCTATAGCAGCATAACTAAGAGCTGGTTCAAATCAGCCCTGACTATAGGCTTTATCAAAGAGGAACGTTTTAAGTCTACTCTTGAAAGTTGAGAGTGTGTCTGCCCCCCGAACCTCGAGCGGTAAATGATTCCAGAGAAGAGGTGCCTGGTAGCTGAAAGCTCTTCCTCCAACACTACTTTTAGAGACATTTGGTACAACGAGCAGACCTGCAGACTGTGAGCGTAACGGTCTAGATGGAAAGTACGGTATAACTAGCTCGTCGAGATATAATGGCGCCTGGCAATTAAGCGCTTTATATGTCACAAGGAGGATTTTAAACTCAATTCTATATTTAATAGGGAAAGGCTAAAACAGGGGAGATGTGCTCCCTTCTACTAGTTCTAGTCAATACCCGAGCTGCTGCATTTTGGACCAGCTGAAGAGTCCTTAATGACTTACTAGAGCAGCCTGGTGGAGAGAATTACAGTAATCCAGCCTAGAGGTAACAAAGGCATGGACTAGTTTTTCTGCATCGCTCTGAGACAATATGCGTCTAATTTTTTAGATATTGCGCAGGTGGAAAAAGGCTGTCCTAGAAATTTGTTGAATGTGGGAGCTAAAAGATAAATCCTGATCAAATACAACTCCTAGATTACGCACAGTGGGGTTGGATGCCAGGCTGATACCATCAAATGTAGCTAAATTACTAGAGAACGCCTCTCTAAGGTGTTTAGGACCGAGGACCAGAACTTCAGTTTTGTCTGAGTTGAGCATTAGAAAGTTATTGGTCATCCAGGATTTTATATCTTTGAGGCAGGCTTCTAACCTGGCAACCTGGCCTGCTTCCTCTGGCTTTATGGATAGGTATAGCTGGGTGTCATCTGCATAACAGTGGAAATTAATCGAATACTTCCTCATAATTTTACCCAGCGGAATCATATACAGGGTGAAGAGGATTGGACCGAGCACTGACCCTTGCGGCACACCGTAGCAGACTTTGGTGTGTGCAGAGGATTTATTATTTACATTGACAAACTGGGATCGATCTGTTAGGTACGATTTAAACCAGGAGAGAGCTGATCCTGCTATGCCTATAGATTGTTCTAGTCTCTGAAGCAGGATGGAGTGGTCAATTGTGTCAAATGCTGCACTAAGATCTAACAGGACTAGAACAGAGAGAAAACCATTGTCTGAGGCCATGAGTAGGTCATTTGACACCTTTAGCAGAGCAGTCTCTGTGCTGTGATGGGTTCTAAACCCAGACTGGAAATCCTCTAATAAACCATTGTTATGGAGAAAATCACAGAGTTGATTCGCAACAACTTTCTCTAGGATTTTAGAAATAAAAGGAAGGTTGGATATTGGTCTATAGTTAGCTAGGGAGCTTGAGTCTAGAGTAGGTTTTTTAAGGAGAGGCTTAATCAATGCAGTCTTGAAAGACTGGGGAACATATCCAGTTAATAAAGACGTGTTAATCATTTTGAGCAGGGACGTACTAATCAAAGGAAGAGTTTCCTTCAGCAATTTAGATGGAATTGGGTCTAAGAGACACGTCGATGGTTTGGCTGCTAGCACCACTGATTTTAACTCAGGAAGGTCAATAGGTACAAAATTACTAAGGTGCACCAGAGGCCTTAGGGGCTCCTCAACATTTTTAGGGTTATTTGAGAGAGAGACACTTGATGGAGTCAATAGGTTACTAATTTTACCTCTTATTTTTAAGATTTTATCATTGAAGAAGCTCAGGAAGTCATTGCTGCTAAGGGCTAATGGGATACATGGTTCAGTGGTGCTCTGACAGTCTGTCAGCCTGGCTACAGTGCTGAAGAGATATCTGGGGTTATTCTTATTTTCCTCAATAAGAGACGAGTAGTAAGTTGTCCGAGCATGTCGTAGGGCTTTCTTATATTTATCGAGACATTCCTGCCAGAGAAAACGAGCTTCAGCTGTTTTGGAGGAGCGCCAAATCCTTTCACATTTTCTTAATAACTGTTTCAGCTCATGGGTTTCAGCATTATACCACGGGGCTAGCCTCTCGCGTGTAATAGTTTTCTGTCGAAGAGGGGCAACTGAGTCTAGAACTGATCGCAGTGTGCCTGAGGTATCATCAACAAACTGGTCAAGTTGCAAGGGACTGATGTTTAAATATGAGCTATCAGTAAAGTTTTTCTCAACTACAGAATTTAGAGCAGACGGAATTACCTCCTTGAACTTAGTAACAGCATTTTCAGACAACCTTCTAGTTAGCACGGCTTTGTTGTGAGGAGAGTAACCTGAAAGCACAAATTCAAAAGTTACTAGACAGTGATCAGATAATAGAGGATTTAATGAGCTGACTAACAGGGCATCAGTTTCGAGGCCATAAGCCAGGACGAGATCGAGAGTGTGGTTAAAGCAGTGCGTAGGTCTATGTACACACTGTGTAAACCCAATTGAATCTAGCAAGGACCGAAAAGAAATGCTTAGGCTATCATTTTCCACATCTATGTGAATATTAAAGTCACCGACGACGATGACTTTATCTGCGAGAAGGACTAATTCGGATAGGAACTCTGAGAACTCTGACAAAAACTCAGAGTATGGGCTCGGAGGGCGGTAAACTATAGCAAATACCAGTGGTCTCATGGACTTTGAGGCTGGGTGCGGGAGACTGAGAACGAGACTTTCAAAAGAGTTATAATCTAGTTTTGGTCTTGGGTTAATTCTAAGACTGGAATTGTAGATAGCTGCAACTCCACCACCTCGGCCAGAGTCTCGAGGAATGTGAAAGTTTAGGTGGCTAGGAGGAGTGGATTCATTTAAACTTACATATTCATCCTTACGCAGCCATGTTTCGGTTAGGGAGAGTAAATCAATGCGATGATCAGAGATTAGTTCATTTATTAACACAGATTTTGAATTTAGAGACCTTATATTCAGTAGGCCACATTTTATCTTACTAGTACTTGGTTCAGCTATGTTAACAGTCTTAATTCTAGTAAGGTTCTTGTTATTTACTCCTTTTTTAATTGATCGGTTAGAATTTGAGAGCCGAGTACGAGGGACAGACACAGTCTCTATATTAAAGTGACAGTAGCTAGGAGGCTGCTCTAACAAAAGTACAGAGGAACGTGTAGAGCTGTGGCTATGCTCCCTGATTTCTATGTCAAGCTGAGAGTAGCTTGGAAGCTGCTCTGAAGGGAGTACAGAGGGACGTTTTACACTGTGGCTCTGCTCCCTGATTTCTATGTCAAGCTGAGAGTAGCTTGGAAGCTGCTCTGAAGGGAGTACAGAGGGACGTTTTACACTGCGGCTCTGCTCCCTGATTTCTAAGTCAAGCTGATTGTAGCTTGGAAGCTGCTGTGAAGGGAGTACAGAAGGGCGTTTTACACTGCGGCTCTGCTCCCTTGTCTCTGTGTATAAGTGGTAGTGGCTGGGAGGCTGCTCTAAAAGAGGCGCAGGGGGGCGTGTAAGACTGCGGCCCTGCTCCCTGATCTCTGCTTTGAATTGTCAGTGGTTCGGATTAATAAAATCGGCCAGATTTCTGGATAAACGGGCCGCTCCATCTCGGGTGGGATGAATGCCGTCCCGGCTAATCAGACCAGGCTTGCCCCAAAATGACTTCCAATTATCAATGAAGCTCACGCCGTTTTGCGGACACCACCTCGACAGCCAGCGGTTGAATGATGAGATACGGCTACACATCTCATCAGTTGTCTGATCGGGCAGGGGACCAGAGAAAACTACGGAGTCCGACATGGTCTTGGCATATTCACACACCGATTCCACGTTCAATTTAGTGACTTCCGACTGGCGGCGTCGGGAGTCATTTACGCCGACATGTATTACAATCTTACGGAATTTACGTTTAGCCTTTGCCAGCAGTTTTAAACTACCTTCGATGTCGCCCGCTCTGGCCCCCGGGAGACACTGAACTATGGCCGCTGACTTCGCTAATTTCACATTTCGGACTACAGAGTCTCCAATCACAAGAGCGTCAGGCTCAGCAGGTGTGTTGCTGAGAGGGGCAAATTTGTTTGAAATGTGAATGTGGTGGTCTACCGTGGGCTTCTTAGGTCTACTGCTATGCTTCCCTTTCACAGTGACCCAACCACTACTACATCCCGGCTGCTCGGGATTCGCCGGGGGGGAGGCTAAGCTAGGCCGACCCGCACCGGCTACCGAGTCCTGGCTGGCTATCGCTACACTAGCATCGGTGCGGAGCCGCTTTTCTAACTCTGTAATCCTCGTCTCCAGAGCTAAGAATAAACTACACTTAAAGCAGGTATCGTTATCGTCTAAGGAGGACGAGGAGTAACTGAACATCTGACACACTGAGCAGAAGCGAGCAGGAGAAGCAGGCGACCGGGGGGAAGCCATCGTTAGCAAGTGTAGCTAAGAGAAGCTAAGCTAGGAGCTAGTAAAGTAAATGGTCAGAGAGATCGCCCGGAGTGGAGATAAAAACGGTGCTTGGTGAAAACTATCAGAAATACTTACAGACTTTCTAAACAGACAGATGTACTGATAAATTACAGATAGAAAATAAACCAAAACAGCAAGAGAGCGCTTTCAGGAGGAAACGAAACGCTACACACAGTTCAACAGCAAGGAAGGGAATGAAGCAATGCGCACGCTCACCAGTCAGGAGGACCTGAGGCCTGGGCTCTCTCGAGGAGAAACACGTGGTCCAGAAAGTTAGAGGAATTATAGATCAGCCAGGACACATTCTCTTCTCTGACTACTCTCTTATGTCCTCTAGGTAGCGCTACTATGCAACCCCAAAGAGAAAAAAAAGGTACTCAAACTTATTTATCCCCTCAATGATCGGGCAGCTAAATGCTGGGAAGTAAGGCTGCTAAATGTTGGGAAGTAGACTGTAGCTGATAGGTGGCCTGTGCTGAATTTGGATTCTCAGGAGGGTTTTATTTCTTATTTTACTTATTTATATCTTTATTTCTTATTGCATCTTAGTCATTTCACTGTTAAATTTATTGCACTTGTATTTATTATTTATTTCTGATCTTGCTAATCTGTGGTGCTGACAGGGGATGTAGGGGTCATATGCTGCTATGAATGTCTTGCATTTGTTTGTTCCCTGATTATTTACTGGTTCAATAAGTTGAGGTTACTGTGAAATAAATTAGCCTTCAGGGATTAATAAAGTGGTATGAATCTAAATCTTGGCTAAAAAAAGGGGAACACCATTGGTTTCAATTCATGCAGGATCTATCTTTGGTAATCTGAGGACGATTCTACTTTTTAATCAAACTCCATAAACATTTTTAAACAGTTTAATTCATAAACAGGTAAAGCTACAGGCTCTAAGAATTAGTCTCATAAATTGAATTTAGTTCTTGGTACTCTGGTTATTAGCTGGACTGTAAAATTGTCATTGCACCGAAAAGTAAGTCCTCTGTTCAGCTAAAGATGTGGGATCAACTTAATGTAAAATATACCTACAGTGAATTTCCTGCAATAAGTGAACTGTTGTATGGGTTGCTGTGATCATTCTCAGATCAGGTCAGACTGGGATGAAAAACTGAAACTGTACTACTTTCTGCTGGGGCCTGGTGCCAGTGAGAAACCAGAAAATGTGTTTGTTGTGGATCAGGATACTGGACAGATCTATGTCCGAGGGAAGTTGGACCGAGAGGAGAAAGAGACTTACATTGTGAGTACAAAGCTGTACCAAGATCGTAACCTTTAACTAAACAATAATCAAGAATCAGAGGAAGTCCTGGCTAGTTTTACACCCTGGGCAAGAATTCATTGTCACGTTCAATTAGCTATACCAAGGCTCGTAATTTTTTGTCAAATTCTGTTATGTCAGATGAATCAGGACTACTTGCATGGAAATTTTCCTCAGATCTAACTAATAATCCACTTTTCAACAGCAACATGATGGCACGATGGCATGGAATGTAGTGAATAACCTCATGGTGATGTGTTTTCTTTTTTCTATCCTCCAGCTGACAGGAGTGGCCAAATTTCATGATGGCAATGTTGCTGAGGGCAGAATAGACCTGAGGTTTGATGTGGGTGATGAGAATGATAATGGACCTGTTTTTTTTCCTGTGCCCACAGCCACAGTCAATGAGTCTAGTCCTGTAGGTAAGGTATGCAGCTATCAAGCCTCAAACACTTGAAGTAGACCTAACCAAGAGAGAGAAATCAGTTGATATTTGATCAAATCTGTCATGAAATCAGCTGTTTGTTTTAATAATTCTCTACTGCTAATGAAATAATTAGGGCCACAGGGCAAACGCACTGAGACACTGGCTCCGATACAGAAGTATAGGGGCCAGTGTCTCAAAGCACCGAGGCACTATTGTTATACTGTGGATTTTTTCTTATTCCTCTTCTGGACAAATTCCAATTCACTACCAGTCCTACAGCTTGAAGAGTTGAGACTGGGATCGGTGTGCTATTACTTTTCTCTATTGTATATAATACTACTATGCAACAAGTATGAATTAGTTGAAATCTCTAAAGAATCTCACCATCATGTACACAGCCTCGCAGTAGCCCCAGTGGCCCTTTCAAAATTTCCCAGAGGGAATTTTCAAGTTAAGTTTACTAATCTCTAACTGAAAAACTTTACCAGAGCTTTACTCGCTAGACAGGCATTACTGATGTGTTCTTTTAAAGTTCTGATGTAAAATAAATAGAGATAATGGTTGTGGACCAACATATAATTGTGGGTTATCATAAACTTAAACATAGGAATCACTGTATAGCCCAAAGTTCACACACAGTCTGTGAACTTTATTTCTTTTCGGTCATGAGAAACCCCTTTGCATAACTAGACTTAACAGACAGACTGATCAGCTACCAACCAGGTATTAGTCAGCAACCAACCAGACCACTGGAACTCAGAGTAATCAGCTTGAATCAACTCTCTTTACTGAATAATTTTCAAGTTGAGAATATACAAGTAAACTCATATTGTCATTAATTTAATAATATATACACTACAGGCCAAAAGTTTCGAAGCAAGGCCATTACAGGCCGAACAGTTGGGAGTAACTTCAATTTTTTTTTCACAATGCTTTTTTTTTAAATCCAGCATGAGTTTTATGTATTTTGGGATGTGTTTACTCCATGATCAGATGTTGCTTTTTATGGAAATGCACCATTTTACTCCATTTACCTTTAGATATACATTGATGTTAACAGACTATTGCTAAATATATGTCAGCAAAAGATAATAAGGCCTTAGTTTTAGAGTTGAAAACATTTGCAAGAGTCACAACTTCAGTGCAAAAGCAAAAAAATAAAAAATAAAAATAACAGTTGGATTATTCACTTCAATTTTTTGGCTTTTGAGAGTCTGTATACCAAAATCCTAATAAATCTCAACTGCGTTCGAACTACCGCAAAAATGGCTAGAAAGAAGCAACTGAGTAAAGAAACAAAAGTACAGATTTGTACATTAAGGAAAGAAGGATACACAGAAAGAGAAATTGCAAAACTCCTAAAGGTGTTTAACAAAGGAGTCCACTACACTCTGAAGTGACAAGAGGAACCTGGAAGTTATGATGATAGAAAAAGACCTGGACGAAAGAGAGTTACTACAAAAGCAGAGGATAAACATAGCATTGTCACCAGTAAGAGAGATCGGCGAAAGACAGCACCACAAATAAGGGAGGAAATCAACATGACAAGGTCGAAACCCATAACACTGACAACCGTGAAATGATGTTTGAGAAAGGCTGGTCTGAAGGGTTGTGTATCTGCAAAAAAAAACCACTACTTCATCCACAGAACAAGAAAGAGAGATATGAGTGGGCAAAAGCTCACAAAAATTGGACTTATGATGACTAGAAACAAGTTTGCACTGTTTGGTTCAAAACGCAGAGTCTATGTCTGTAGACAAACTGGTGAACGTTTCAAAGCACCATGTGTTACACCCACAATTCAGTATGGAGGTGGTAGTTCCATGGTATGGGGATGTTTTGCAGGTGATGGAGTAGGAGATTTGTTTGACGTAAAGGGTATCATGAAGAAGGAACAGTATCACTCCATCTTCCAGCACCATGCTGTTCCATCTGGACTCAGACTTGTGGCTCACAAGTTTGTTTTTCAGCAAGACAATGACCCTGATCACTCTGCCAAGCTCTGTCAGGGTTACCTAGACAAAAAAGAAGAGGAAGGTGTTCTTCAAAAGATGGTTTGGCCCCCTCAGTCTCCACACCTTTCTCCAATTGAGCTTGTGCAGGATGAATTTGATCTATCGGTCAGAAAAATGCATCCCACAAATCATCAGTCTCTTTTTAATGAACTTAAGAAAGCTTGGAATGCAATCCCTTGAACATACCTTAAAAAACTTGTGGAACGAATGCCTGGTATATGCCAAGCTGTTGTTAAAGCCAGAGGAGGTTACTTTAAAGAAAGCAAAGTCTAAGCAACAATAACTCAAATACCTAATAATTATAGTCAAAATGTCTTCTGATAAGTTACTCTTCACACAATAGCCATGTTTATTGTGTTGCAAATTATATATATGAAACTATAGTCTTTTTTTGTACAAATCTGATCTTGCTTCCAAACTTGTGGCCTGTAGTGTATGTCCACATAAAGCAAAGCATTTATTTGGTGTTGTATTACACTGTTGTCACAATGGCTCATATTATAGGTCTTCTTTTCTAAATGTTAGATTAGTACAGCAGAGATACTTATGAATCTTAGAAGTGGTGGGATGTAAGGAAAGGGGCCTACACAATAGACACCCAGTCAAATTACAATGGCTGCGTATTTGCTTGTTAAAGTTGAACATTCAATGTAATGCCTATTGCTATATAGAGTGTCAGTCTAGTTTTTCAAAGACCACACAAAGCTACAAACTTCAGATCAAATCAAAAACTGGATACTAGTTAAACAATGGCAGCATCTCAATTTTTCTCCAGACATTTTGTTAGAAACCCCAAAATTGACTAATTTGTCAAATGAATCAAGCTCTCTATTAAACTGCATAATGCACACACACCCACACATGTGTAACACTATAGCAAAATTCACAGTGAATGAAGTACTGAATGTTGTCCTCCTTTGCTTTGTGTCCAGGAACTTACGTTGGTAAAGTTAATGCCACCGATGCAGATAAGGCAAATTGTTCCAACTCAAAGATCGCCTTCACCATTGTGAAACAGGAGCCCTGGAATGGCACTGACTATTTCTACATAGACAGAGACACCGGGAACATCTATGTCAATGAAAAAACCTTGGACAGAGAGGTTTGAGAGAAAACTCGAGGGGACACCTTTTGCTTCGATTCAAATTAAATATACTGTAGAGGGTACCAAAGCATTTGAATATTGATGTAACTATTAAACACTCCTAAATTATGAATATTCTTCTGTCTCTCCTTTGTCCACAGACACAAAGCACATACATACTCACAGTTACTGGAAGTGATATGGATGGAGCTCCTGGAGGCCACACGGGCACCGGTACCATCGATATCAAAGTTGTGGACATCAATGATAACGAACCAATGCTGGAGAAAGATGAGGTTTCAATGCTGAGTTTCTAAAGGCTTGTTAAGAAATGAAATAGACAGGCCTTGTTAGAGCCTGATATGTAGCAATGACCCCAAATGTAATGTTGTAAAAATAATAATAATAATAATTACACAAAATGTGATAATTGGTCAATAATTTAACAAAAATATTGAGCCCAAAATGTAATAAAAAATGAATGAAGCAAAAAATGACAATGTGACAAAAACTTAATTATATTACATGTAATATATACATTTCAATCAGGAGAGACCTTTGAAGATCAGAAATTTTATTTGACAATTTTTAGAATGATGCTTGACAGAAAATCTTTGGCATTTGGACTCAATGGGGTGATTTGTGAGATCGTAGGATGCTTGATCTGTGCGGCAGCAGGAAAATCCCCCCTAGAAGATAAAGTCTCAGGCCATGGCTAAAAGAACACTCCCCAAAAGTGCTTACTTACAGGGATAGTTTTGGAACACCATAAAATGAACAAGGATAGTCACTTGCTTGAATGAATGAATGGGCTAGAATGAAATTCGCCCTCACCTCTAACAGGTACTAGGCCAACAATGTTGAATTACTAAAAAAAAAAAAAAACATTAACACATTTAAACCACCTAAATAGCACATAGATACTTACCTAGAGCTTTTGAGGATGATGTGAGATTGTGATGATGCATAGCTCAGCGGCTATAAGGAGTGCTGCATTTGAGATGATGCATAGCTCAGCAGCTATTGGTAGAGCTGCATTTGCGATCATGATTGAGCTGGTGGCTATGAGGAGAGCTGCGTTTGCGATAATGCATAGCTCAGTAGCTATGAGGAGTGCTGCATTTGTGATGATGCATAGCTCAGTGGCTATGAGGAGTACTGCGTTTGCAATAATGCATACCTCAGTGGCTATGAGGTGAGCTGTGTTTGTGATGATGCATAGCTCGGCGGCTATGAGAAGTGCTGCGTTTGTGATGATTTTTGTTCTTAGACGGTGAGATGTTTGCGCTGAATGGGACGTAAGGCCTACCTAGAGAAGGAGCCTACAGCACAGAGGCCAGGGTGTGTAGGGGCATGGCAGGGGTGATTGAGGAGGTGGTAGATTCATGCAGGGTGGAAGTTGAGGCTTGAGTTTGGTTCCCAAGTTGATAGGCTGGTGTTGCTGCTGAGGAAGCTGTGATGTTCTCCAGGAATTGCAAGCGGTTTTTGAGTTGTTGAACGGAATTCACCAGAGCCTGAAGAGTGGTAGCAACTGTATTTTCGGGTTGAAGAGAGGGATCAGTGTGACCATTCGTTGACGTGCTGGCAGGAACATACTTGCGTTTGGCAGGTGGATCAGAGTGGTTGACTTTACTGGTGCGTTGAACCTAAAATAATTACATTTTGGGTTTTATTACATTCTTTAATAACATTTCAGGTCATTGTTACATATGTTTTTAAAGAAAGAGACTACAGATGTCTTTCAGGGAAAATACATTAAACTGAGTCTGGAAATTAAAATGTCGCCACTGGCCCTGCAGGACCAACGTAGTCAAGTGACAGCGTACACAACAAGTAGACATTAGAAACAATGACTCTCAACCTGAAACCTCATAAAAATGGATGTTTTGTTTTTCTGTAGTATTCAGGCAGTATTGTGGAGAACACAGCTAAAGTGGAAGTCATGAGGTTCAAAGCACTGGATGCAGATGAGGTGAAAACTGACAATTGGCTGGCAGTTTTTGATATCATCTCTGGAAATGAAGATGGGACGTTCAGCATAGAGACTGATCCCAAAACTAATGAAGGTGTGCTGTTGCTGGAAAAGGTAGGTCTTTTTCTATGGTTGATGTAAATCTGACTGTAGTTATGTCCTTTATCATGTCATTGTGTTTAATCATGAGCCTCGGTTTTCTATATCACCTGGGTCTTCAATTTTTATTCTGAGGAAAATTTGGCAATACTAAGTTGTATAAGACTCACAAAAGTAAAGCTTCTTGTGTAAGTTTACAGTCACATAGTGGCTTTGTGGCAGTGGCGATTGCTCTAAGACTGCAAGGGAAGCTCAGCTTCCCTTAAAATGTCACCCCCCCAAAAAAAGAAAAAGTGGTGAAATACGTACTGCTGTGTGTACATTTCGTTAACTAAATATGCGCTAGAAAGCCTTCATCTTTTGTTCAGAATCAGCTTCTTATCACACTGTGATAAGAAGCTGATTCTGCACAACTTCGTTCTCATTCATCCTCGCAGTGCCTCAGCGCTTTAAACAGCCAGACGCTCGGCTTCTGCTGACTTCCATGTGGAAGCTCAAAGTGGGTTGTTCCAGCAGCGAAACTAGACGCTCATTGGATAAATGCTGGGCTTTGTCCCGCCCATCGGTCGCTGAGCTTCTCTGGAGTTCTATGGCGAGAGCGTGGTCCCGACTTTCTCCCGGACTCCGAGCTTCTGCATCCATGATTGGATGAGCTGCCTGAGGCGAAATCCTTTTTTGATTGACAGCTAAACAAGCGAATCAGCGATCTTGAAGAATAACACATCTACCAGAGCATTTTCCAAGTTATTCATTCCGTTGTTCTTAACTGCTCCAGAGACTTTACCGATCCTCAGCGACTTTTGTCTTTGTTAAAAATGACTGCCGTTGTGTTTGGCGACTCTGTTCTGTTACATACAAATAAACAAACACAATTATGATGTAGGCCAGAAAAATGAGCTTCCCCTCCTTGAAAGACCAGCAGCCGCCACTGCTTTGTGGCTACATCACTTTAATGTTTTTTCCACCTCAATAATGTGGAGTATGACTTGCGCCGTAAGAATAATTAAATTCCAAAAGTTTTGAAATGTCTTCACACTGACTGGCAGTAGTTCAGGCTGGAAGGACTAGGGCTGAGGATTGGAGGGTTGCTGGTTCAAATCCCAGACAGACCATTTCTGGACTTTGGCCTGGTAGTGGGACAGGTGCTAAGTTACTTCCTGTGTGCTGCCGAAAGGCCATTTAACAACCCCCCTTGCTCTCTGCAGTACCTATCTGCAGCAAGGCCATCATTCTGACTTTTCTCTCCTTCGGTTAGCATATATCCATGGGGATCCTGTTTGTGCATGTATTTCAGCCTGTTTGTGTAGTATCCACAACAATAGGGAGTAAACTGTTCATTTACCTTCAGAGGTCAATTAAGTGACTTAACTAACTTAAGGGAGCTGAACTGACAGGGCTCAATTTTCTCTTCCTCCAGCCTGTCGATTTCGAAGCAAATCCAGATATCAAGCTGGGAGTGGTGGTTTCCAACGTTGCACCGTCTTTAGGAGATGGAGAAGTAGAGGGGGATGGAGGAGGAGATGGAAGTGGAGATAAAGGTGGGGGTGGGGGTGGTGGGGGTGGGGATGGAGATGGGGATGGCGGTGGAGATGGAGATGGAGATGGAGGTGGGGATGCAGATGGGAATGGGAATGGAGGTGGAGGTGGAGATGGAGATGGAGATGGAGATGGAGATGGAGATGGAGATGGGGATGGAGGTGGGGATGGAGATGGGGATGGAGGTGGGGATGGGGATGGAGATGGTGGAGGAGATGCTGATGTTGAAGCAGGGGCAGGAGCAGTTGCTATCATCACAGCAGGAGCTGGAGCGAATGTAAATGTTGGAGTGAATGCTGGAGCTCAAGGCCCAGCTAAAAAGACCAAGAAAAAGAAGAAAAAGAAGAAGCAAAGAAAAAAACCCAAAGTGTACCCAGTGAACATCGCAGTGCAGAACGAGCCTGAGGGAGTCGCCTTTGTGCCCCTTGTAAAGCCTGTCACTGTTTCAGAGGACCCGGAGGAAAGTCCATTGATGGAGGTGATTTCTGTCTTCACAGCCACCGACACTGACACTGGAAAACCTGCAAAAAATGTTCGGTGAGTTAGAGACACACTTAACTTTTGGTTAAAGGACTTAAAGAAAAGCAGACTTTCCCCTTTTAATTTTTTAAAATCAACTACTATGAATTTTGATTGGCTACACTAGAAACTTTGAACCAAGCAAAGTTATTTAAAGCCGGTATATAACAGTGACATCTCTCTTTTTGCAACACCACAGAAAAATTAAATGTTACACAAATCTGAAATTGTGTTTGTAAAATCTCTTTAGTTTTCAGGATAATCTGGTCCAGAACTGATTGATTTAACAATTGCAGTCCTGGTTGTGGACCAGGAACTTTTCTTAAGGTCCTGGTTGTGGACCTGGTCCAAGTTGACCTAGAGGCGCAAAAGACAGTGAAACAGTTTTTTGTTTTTCATGAATAAAATAAACGTTTTCCGAATCTGAAACTGTGTTTTAAAAAGACCACAGAGCCGTTGGCACAATTTAGTCGAGATTTGGCAAGTCCAGTTACAGTCGCTCTGGATGAAGACCTCATATCATTTGATCAAGAGGTTCAAATGAAAAAGTAAAATTCAAGGTGTTACGAATCTGATGCTGCGTTTTAAAAAGTTAGTTACTTCTTTGGTGAAGCGGTTTTGACAAGGACCAGGTTTTCTGGTTTGAAATCAAAAGCTACAAATCATACACCAACTTGAGCAGAGCTTTATAAGAACCACTGTGATCCATACAGAGGCTGTGTCCCATTTCAGAGACCGCAACGTCGAACGACGCATTTGAAGCGTGCATGATGCGGTGCGAACGGTGTCCCATTTGGCATGAAATGCTAAGAAATGCTAAGCGCGCTTAGCATTTTTCAAGCGTGGATTTATGCACGCTTTTGTTCCGTTGGTATCCCAGAATTCTTTGCGTGCCGCTGCACAGCTGCGGGTGAGAGGCTGGACTCGCTTGGAGACGCAGCGCGTCTTTAAAGAAAATAAAAGAAATTCAAAAACAGCAGACAATTGTCTTGGAAAATCCAGCATAAACTTAGTAAAACAATGCACAGGAGACAGGATGATATCTGAAGAACAGCCTGGGCGTCTTTTATTGTATAGATGTAGAAATCAGTACAGATGACAAACAGAGTCTCGACCAAGACCGAAGGAAGCCTCCCTAGCTTTTCTTCTACTCCCTTTTATGCTGTTAGGTGTGTGTGTGTGTGTGTGTGTGTGTGTGTGTGTGTGTGTGTGTGTGTGTGTGTGTGTGTGTGTGTGTGTGTGTGTTCTGTCACCATGGGTATGTCATATCAATTCTCCAGAGGGCTACCCATGATGACATGTCATACTGTTCTGACCCTCAACACTTTGTTTAGGCTCGTCTTAACTCTCACAGAGATTAAATGTTCCAACAGACAGATAGTTCGGGCTCCTGCAAGACAGCCTTGCTTGCAACCTCAGGCTGCATGAGCAGGCCAACCTAGATTATTTGTAGCTCCTTACTAAAAGATAATTACTCTATATTTCTTAACCTAAATGTATGAAGAGATTCTCCAACACAGTCCCCCCTTTGAAAGTTCTTACGTTCATAAAACCCTGATCATCATATCAAACACTTCCTTAAGTGATTAAAATAAAACATGTTCACTAAATTCAAAATGCAATGTGTGTGATTTGCTGCATCTAAGACTTAATAATATATGGCATGAAACAAAAATCAAAATGCATTAACCAGTCATATGAATTATGCAACCTTATCAAATCGTGATATAATTCCCCCAATTATGCATGTTATAAAATTGTGATATCAATTCTCAAGAAATGTAATAATCAATGTTCATTGGGTTGAATAATATCTCACTTTGATGTTCAATTTCTTCACCATCATACCATAGCTAGGATCATTTTAAATTATATCAGCGCGTAAGACTGAAAACCCTGCCGGGCTGTTTCAACAGGGAAAGAATCTTACAGCCCCACGCCCTGGCGACCATCCATTTCCTGGATGCGCTGACATAATTTCATTTGCATAGAAAAAGTGTCAACTTCTGGTAATACCATTAATTTCATTGTAGCAACTTGCGACAAACCCCTTGATTAGGATGTGATTAACTCCATGGTCAATGTGTGATTAATGTAGTCCTTTAACTCTGCGAATGAAACATGTTCAGTTCAATATCTCAGCTCATTGGATATGTTGTTTGCATTGTTCAAAGTCCATTGCTCATCTTCGTCTCCTTCAGTCCAGGAACCCTTCAGGTCCCTCAGTCCCTCCTTTATACATCACACACTGTGCCAGCTGTTTTGGTGGCATTTCCTGTAGTTCATGGGCCAGTGTTAGGTCCACCATAAGTCCCATCTCCTCCGTCAGCTTCCAACATTGTCTCCAAAAGATGTGTACGTTGCAACATGTGAGAAAGGAAATCAGAATTAGAGCTATCACAGCACTCGTGGCTGGGCCAACCTTGATTCATCTAACATTTGGACCAACCAGTCCATCAACAGGCCCCCCTTACCAGCATTCTCCCGCATTTCCACTTTTAGCTTTTCTATACCCTCCATAGCTTTAGAAAAACCTCCCCCAGGGGCTTGTTTTGTTAGAAATGTATCTTCAACAGTACTTTCTAAACCTCGAACACACTCTTTTCTCTTCAAATACCCAATTTAATGCTTGTCTGTATTGTCATGGTAGTGGACTTGTTACATGTAAATATCCTTTAATCTAAACATTTTAGCTGAATAATTAACAAATCAAATCAAACAATAATTTCTGTCACATAATCGCTTAACTTTAGGTTTAGAAAAAAAACTGTTCTTCTCTTATATGTAAAAATCTGGCAAAAATCTCTTCCCCATTTACCACCTCCAGTTGTTATTTTATTTTCACACACGACTTTTAAACATTAATTTTACTTCCTATGTGATAAATTCATCTGGAACCTTTCCTTCAATATATCAGATCTAGTAATGTGTAGGGCTCTCTTTCCTCTTTTTCTTATGCACTTGTTTCTGATTATCTGTAAAAAAAAATCTTTTTAATTTTATTTATCTATTTTCCTTAACCTAATTGTAAATCTGTAATAAACTGTGAATGTTGGCATGGGTTCTAGCACTGTCTGGAGTGGTGTGGATTGTGTTTGGGTTGCATCATACTCACCCGTGATGAAAATGTCTCCGACGTCTTCTTCTTCTCACAGCTGTACTGGCACCAGTTTGACCTTCACCTTTCTTCGTTGTCTCCAGTCTCTCTCTCAGTCTCTCTCCACACATTGTACCTCAGCAGCAACACCAGGAAAACAGTTACTTTCAGGACGATTTTGGGAGTGTCTCTTATCAAGTCATACTTCCTTGTTTTTCTGGGCAGTCGGTGGTAGATGATGCCACATCATATTGCCCTCTTCTTGCACTGAAGTGTCACCAGGACCACAGTGTTCAGGTCTTCTCCTCGTTCTTTGTGCCACTCTCCTCAAAGGACATAGATGTACACCTGGTTGTCTGGCTCGACTGGCCTCCACCTCTTGACTTGTTATCAGATTTAGGCATTCCTCCTGCTAATCGATAGATCTTTGCATCGTAGTTAGCTGCCTTCATTTATTTTATTTGCAGCTGCCGTACCAGGCAGTGATGCTCGCAGAAAGCACAGACCCCACTGTGGCGGTGTAGATAGTTTGCCAATGTGAATTTACAAATGTGCTAAAAAACAAATTCCATTTACATGCATTTGTTTTAAGATTAATATGACTAAATCTTTTTGGTTTACGAACTTTCACCGCATAAGCAGCGGTGGATAATGGAGCGTTTTTTTTTTTTAACACATGCACGAGTGTCACACGTGCATGTTTTTTTTTTATTCTCACCTGTCGCCGCCATGCTCTGATGGTGCAAAGCCACTTTTTTCTTTGCCTCCACCTTTAGATCAGACCACTTCTTCTTGATTTCGGCACAGTTTTGTTTTCGTCTACGTCATCTTCAACGAAAACAAAACTCCACGTGTTTGCGCGCGCGTGCGTGTGTGTCTGTGTGTTGGAGGAGCACAACAGGCTGATGACAGCTGTCAGAGCGGACAGAAGCTGCTCCTATATGTTTAGCGTTTAACTGACTGAGTTTTGCAACTCTGTTCGTCATTTTCGTCTCGTCCCATCAACGTAAACGCACTTTCGTCTCGTCACATTTTAGTCATCTCCGACTTATGTTTAGCTCGTCAACGTTACGTCTTCGTCGTGGAAGAAAAGGGAAATATTTCCGTCAACAAAAACAACCAGTGTTGTTCTCGTTGATGAAAATATTTCTTTTTGACGCTGGTGTTGACGAAAATATTTGACGAAATATGACGAAAACAACACTGTTTCGGCAACGCTGCGCTCAGTGCCAGCCGCAATTGCCACCACGGCAACGGCGTTTTTATCGGTGATGCCACTCGAATGGCCGCCGAATAAGGTCTCCCGTCTCGCCGCCACCTCATTTACAAGAACCTCCACCTCGATCTCTGAAAAGTTTCTTTTTCCACGACTTGCTGATGCCATGGTTAAGCGTGAAATGCCGTGGATCCACCAGGCTTATCTACATGCAAATCACATTCATGAGGTAATTTGCATGACCATACATGGTGAATTTTGGGTGTGGAGAGGGCGGGGAAGAATCAAATCCCTGCTGAGCAACTTTCCAGCTGGTCTGTGATTTATAAAGGGAAAGTGCGTGCAGGTGTGCGTAGGCAGGGTTTTATAAATCAGATTTTTTTTTTGCCTACGCACTTTTCAGCTTTTCAACTTACGTACACTTTTAGTATGGATCCTACGCCAGGTTTTATAAATGAGGCCCCTGATATTTACTTCAGAGATTAACTTTCTTCCCCAAAATGATGTACCAAATCATGCAATAATATTTCACAAAAGTTTTGACTCCAAGATCTTTTGATGGTGTTGCTTCTATCCATCGACTGAACCCGTCATCATTACAAACATGAAACATTTTCCTTGGCAGTTTTAATCATGTCCACATTGTCTATGAATAGATGTCTAAAAGCGTCCCTCTGGAACTGGAAAAGTGTCCCACTAATGTTTTATTGGTCTCTTCAATTCATCTGAAAACACATATCACAATGACCCAAAAGTTTATCAACTATTGTCAGCATATTCTAAAAATCTCATGTTTTAATTGTCTCATTATCTCCCCCCTTGCACAGTGTGAATCACTGTGAAAGTCAGATCCTGAGTTGGTTTGTTAATACTACTGGTACCAAAATAGTTATTTAACTTTAAAACATTTTCTGTGCCCTTATTGGCCTTTGACAGCTTCCCAATACTTTTACATTAGGTGGCACATCTGTGAGGAGTGTATGTGGATTCAGCACAGCCATATTTGGATTTATCAGTATTAAACTAACAGAATAGAAATGTTACACCCTAGATCTCAATTAGCACTGCGGTTTTTAGCAGGCCCCTCAGTTAAACTCTGCTTCCCTCCTCAGCTGCTTGCTTTAGTGGATATTTTACTCAATATGACAGTCAAACATTAGCCTTAGGTCCAGTTATACTGGACTCAAGGACACACCATAATGTTTTCATCCAACCTCTCCTCAGTACATCTTACTATATAATGGGTCAAAAACATCTTTCAATAACACCTGGACATTTGGGATTTAAACCTTAATATATATTTTAATTATAGCAGTTTGACCTAGCTAATATATCTTTGCATATTTGGTCAAGATATTTACTTAAAAACTATAAACCATAACTGTCTATGTACACACCTTGTGGTGAGCACCAAATTTGAATGTTACCCCTACATAGGGCTTTTTGGTCATCCCTGGTCTGGGCAGTTGTCAAAAATGTCCGGTATGATCACATCCCCAGCAGGCCTTTAGATGTCACACGTCCATCAGAATTCCACTCTCTCCCCCTGCCGGGATATATCATCTCTATGGAGCGGGGTTCTGTCTGAGGATAAACATTCACAACAGGTGATTAAACAGGTTGCTGTAGCTGTAGCAGGTTTAACTGCAGTTAGCATCTGCATGGTCTGCATCGCTGGGTCTCTTTTGCAGTGTCCCCCTTAGAGGTGGCCACCATTGCAGCCTGAGACTGTACTTTGTTTCTGCTTCGCAGGTCTCCCAGCTGTAGCTGTATCAACTTCCGCTGAATGTTCTTTTCCTGTTCTTTCAGTCTCCACTCTTCATTTGGCAGCACCCTCCACATCACATCACAATATGCATTGAACTCACTCCCATCTATCATGGGATTCGTCATCCAACTTTGTTTTGACTTGTGCAGAAACTCCTCCATCGTCTTGGTTCCCAGCAGTTGAGCCAAGAGTGCTTTCATGTCTGGTGTAGTCAACATTTTCCCTACAGTTCATCCTCAAAAACCGATATCCATCTCCCTGCCCCCTGTTCAGTTTGTAGTAGTCTGGCAATCAGCCCAGCAAGGTTTGTGGTTTTCGACGGCACATAGCTAGCCTGTGTGCCCTTTTTTAAGATTGAAAACATACTATCAGTGCATCTTCGGGTGAACATGATCTAGGCCAGGGGTGTCAAACTCAACCACAGCAAGGGCCATAATCTGGATTTAGGTCTAATCTCAGGGCCAAAGAGGGTCAACATTTCACCAAAACTGTCAATTTCCTTTTCAAAGCCTATGGGACAAAAATAGCAATGATTATAGATCATTTGGAAATTCAAAAAGAGATTAAAAAAAAAACATATACAGTATATATAAATACATATATATATATATATATATATAATAAAAAATAATAAGTTTGAAGGCAACCTGAGATGGGAAAAATGTTTAGTTTTTTATTCTATTCTTATTTATTAGTTCAAAAGATCAGAGCATGATATTAAAAACAGGAAAATAATGCATTTAAAGAGCAAATACACAAGAAAAACATTGAAATCAGGTTCAAAAGGTCAAAATATGACTTAAAATTTAGAATTGGAATCTAAAGTAGAAAAATGACACAAGTCTAAATACTGAGTTGAACAAAATCAAAGCATGAAATAAAAATCCAATCATGTTTGACTTGTAATCTTGAGATGCAAAATTGAAAACATAATAAAACACCAAATATGTATTTTCCACATTCTTGACCACTTATCAAATCTTCCTTACTCTTTAATTTCCCAGATTTTCCTGGCTTATTAAGGACATTTTAAATAAAGGTGCTAAAGTTTACATTATTATACTGGAAGAAATCTGCAGACTTCATACTGGTGGGCCAATAATAATACAAATATGATATGATCTTATGGGCCAGATATAATTGTTCCATGGACCAGATTTGGCCTTGAGCCCGACACCTGTGATCTAGGCCTTTATCTAAGATCATATTTTGTGCAGGGTCACATGATATTTGCGGGCCCTGCTTCTTACCTAAGCTGGGAAGTATTTGTGCTACTACTACTTGTACTATTGGGTGACAGAGTTCACATGGCAAGTCTATGTTATTGTTACCCAGATTAAAACAATTTGACTGTTCAGCATTATAAGCATTATCATTCACATAACAATTACTTATGATCATTACTTCAGGGAATCGGGCAAAGGTTTGTTGTGGGCTTTTCCTCCCTCAGCAAACTCAAAATCACATATTATATTAACTTTCCCCAACATAGAAGGATAATTTCCTGTTTTCTGATACTGGATTTGGCTACAGAATCTCTCTCTATTTTACCTATTTTCCATGTTTGTGACTTTCTTTTCTCCACCTTCTCCTTATTGCTTTCTAGCTCTGCAAACCCAATCTTTAATTTATTCATAAAATAGTGTTGGCCTTCACTTTTGAACATTTCCAGTACTTTTAGTTCCAAATCTCTTGTTTTTGCGTGTTTTACTTTCAACTTTGTGTTTATGGTCTTAAATTTGCTGCTCCAAATCCTCACACACAGTCACATCAGATGTGCCTCCCTAGATCATAAAAATTCTAACCCCTTGACTCAATGTCCCCATTTCTTTGTAAGTTTTTGGATATCATTTAAGTGTTCAGGATATTTACACCCTGCCAATGCAATTGAAGTTATACTAATCTTCCCTTTCTGGTCATGGTGTTTGTAGAATTTATTATTTCTATTGAATTACTTTGTTCTAAAAACTTAGATCAGCAGTGTTCCTGTAAACCTATTTGTTTTATTTCTTGTTATGTTTTTATTTTTGGAAAGAAAACAATTATTACTATCATTATTATTGATTTTAATTCTTCATTTCGTGTTAATATATTCACACCCTTCTCAGTCCTTTTTCACAACTTTAACAACTTTCAGTTACCCTTTTCACACTTCAACACTTTCAGTTACCCTTTGTCTGATCTCTAATCCAGAACACATAGTCACCCATTGCCACAGATAAAAGGGAAAAAAGAATAAAACAGACCTGACACAAAGTTAGGATCTTTCTCTGTATGTCGCACCATTTTTCCCAGCCTTGCCTTGCTTCAAACTATGTCACAATCAAAGCCAGAATGCTCGCACTGTCAGTCTTTTACACATTCACTACTCAAACAGCACACTGCCACACCCTACTTCAATCTTAACTTGCGTCACCATTCAACACTTCAACACTTCTTCAAATTAACACACACATTAAAACTTGATCCCCAGCGGTTTTGTAAGATTCTCAAAAAATACACAGTATAAAGCTTTTGCATTAACTGAAGTCTCACAGCAATAGTCATTATTGGTATTAACAGTTTCAATAATATAAAAAAAAACACAGTATTTTGGCAGAAACAGCAGATGTATAGAAGCAACCCTTAGATTTGAAGTTTTAGAAGTTTTGCACTCATGGTACCTCATTTCTTTTTCCCCTTTTTGTATCTTTTATACTTTCACAAACATTATTTCAGCAGCTTTAACACAGAAAATTTGTTAAGGAGCATAAGACATGTGTTAACAACAAAAACCATCATAATATTCAAGCATAAGCTAAAACCTTCATATCAGGAGTGTTCATCATGATACTAGGAAGAGAACCTCTTTCCCAGGAGTATTTAACCTTCTATGTCTCAACTGATAACATGTCTGCAGTGAGCACAGTATTCACATAAACAACTATGAAATAAACACGTGAGAAAAACACAGCAATCTTTGAATAACATAAATTAAAGTTGTTAACTTAAATTTAACTTTAAATTAAAGTTTTTAATTTAGAAGAATAAAGTCATAAAGTAAATAAAGTCATAAAGCTGCTTTTGTGGAGGGGGAAATGGCTGAAGCTGGTCTGCAGATGACCAGCTTCAGTCATTTCACTTTATTCCCCCAAGTTTACAACTTTAATCTCTAAATCTTAAAAAAAAAAAAAAAACAACTCTATGTTGTCCTGATCCTCTGCTGTAGTTTTGTCAGCTTTCTTATTTCTAATGTTTTTGATTGTTATAGCAGAGCGGATCAGTTTGTCTCTAAATCTATAATGTTTGGTTTACAGATTTTACTGAGTTCAGAGACCATGCTGTCATACAGCCTGAGCTGACTGTCTGCTGTTTTTGGATTTCTTTTATTTTCTTTGAAGACGCGCTGCGTCTCCAAGCGAGTCCAGCCTCTCACCCGAAATGCGCAGCTGTGCAGCAGCATGCAAAGAATTCTGGGATACCAACGGCATGAAAGCGTGCATAAATGCACGCTTGAAAAAGGGGCGGGGCAGTGTGGTTTTGAGACCGAATTTGAAGCATGCTTAGCATTTTGTGCCAAATGGGACACCATTCGTGCTGCGTGATGACCTCACGCACGCTTCAAATGCACCGTTCAACGGTTGCGGTCTCTGAAATGGGACACAGGAAGGGTACGTAACGGCACATAACGGCAGTGCGCTCAGCTAAGCGCGCTTAAGCGCGCTTATCCCGATGCGGTCTCTGAAATGAGACACAGCCAGAGTTTGACAGAACTAATGTGACAAGGCGAGCAGTGGGGGTTAAGACTTGACAACGTCACCTGGGGTCATGCACCAGTGGCGATTGCTCTAAGACTGCAAGGGAAGCTCAGCTTCCCTTAAAATGTCACCCCCCCAAAAAAAGAAAAAGTGGTGAAATACATACTGCTGTGTGTACATTTCGTTAACTAAATCGTGCTAGAAAGCCTTCATCTTTTGTTCAGAATCAGCTTCTTATCACACTGTGATAAGAAGCTGATTCTGCACAACTTCGTTCTCATTCATCCTCGCAGTGCCTCAGCGCTTTAAACAGCCGGACGCTCGGCTTCTGCTGACTTCCATGTGGAAGCTCAAAGTGGGTTGTTCCAGCAGCGAAACTAGACGCTCATTGGATAAATGCTGGGCTTTGTCCCGCCCATCGGACGCTGAGCTTCTCTGGAGTTCTATGGCGAGAGGGCGGTCTGTTGTAGAAAGTCCAGCATAAACAATGCACAGGAGACATGATGAGATCTGAAGAACAGCCTGGGCGTCTTTAATAGTACAGATGTAGAAATCAGTACAGATGACAAACAGAGTCTCGACCAAGACCCAAGGAAGCCTCCCTAGCTTTACTTCTACTCTCTTTTATGCTGTTAGGTGTGTGTGTGTGTGTGTGTGTGTGTGTGTGTGTGTGTGTGTGTGTGTGTGTGTGTGTGTGTGTGTGTGTGTGTGTGTGTGTGTGTGTCTCCAGAAGGCCCCTCATGATGACATGTCTGCCCCACAACACTTTGTTTAGGTTCGCCTTGACCCCGGCAGAGATTACATGTTCCAACAGACAGATAGTTTGGGCTCCTGCAAGACAGCCTTGCTTACAATCTCATGGTCGTGGGGCAGCAGGAGCAGGCCAACCTAGATTATCTGTAGCTTCTTACTAAAAGATAATCACTCTATATTTCTTAACCTAAATGTATGAAGACATTCTCCTACACACCCCCCCTTTGAAAGTTCTTACTTTCACAAAAAACCTAATCATCATATCAAACACTAAACATCCTTATGTGATTAAAGAAACAAAAGTCAGTACCGGCTTTCTCCCGGACTCCGAGCCTCTGCATCCATGATTGGATGAGCTGTCTGAGGCGAAATCCTTTTTTGATTGACAGCTAAACAAGCGACTCAGCGATCTTGAAGAATAACACACATCTACTTGAGCATTTTCCAAGTTATTCATTCCGTTGTTCTTAACTGCTCCAGAGACTTTACCGATCCTCAGTGACTTTTGTCTTTGTTAAAAACGACTGCCGTTGTGTTTGGCGACTCTGTTCTGTTACATACAAATAAACAAACACAATTATGATGTAGGCCAGAAAAATGAGCTTCCCCTCCTTGAAAGACCAGCAGCCGCCACTGTCATGCACCCCAGGATATGAATAACAAAAATCACCAGAGGCGCAGGGTTCAAGTTCAAGTGGAATTGAGTCCACTGGATGAGACACTGTGATTTCAACAATGAAAACATTAAATCCAACCATCACTATAAAAAGTAGATGAAATGAAAGATAAAACAGTAGTATGGGAGCCTGTAAAAGGGAAAAAATAGGACAGGGCTAGGATCCAAAAACTGCACAACTCCCATGAGACAGCTAACCAAAGGTGAAAACTGGAATCACCACCAGGGGACTGCTGCCACTCTGAGGCCCACAGCACCTGTCAGACAAAAAGGAAACATACAACTAAATGCAATGCAATCATGAAAGCCCTCATACCACGGTAAACAAACACACAAAAATAGTACACACTAACCCCAAACCCAAAATGAGAAACAAAAACACAGCTGACACAGCAGCAGAGGATTGCAACACACGGAGAGCAGGGTCTAATCATTGGATGACAGCAGGAGGAAGCTAAATACCCCAACTCCACCGGTAAAGGTCACAGGAAGTGCACCACACTCACACAGACACCAGGACACAGCTCAGCTTCCGGTCATACCACACTTGTTTTAAACCCGACACTACTCCAGGCTGTACAGGCAGGACGCCGGTAGCCACTGCACGCCTCTAGCTCTGTGAATGAGAAAGAGATAGAGGGAGAGGGAGAGCAAAGCAAACGAGATGTTTTTATAGGTGACCTCACAGTAATTGCCAGCCACACTGCCTTTAGGGAGTGTAAATCCCCATCCGGTCACACAAAGACATAGCCTAATTGTGTTGGTAAAGCCAGCAGAAATGTCAGAGGATTAGTAGATTCATGACTTTCCAGTCACTGAGTGCCAGGCAGTCCTGTTTCAAATCTGACAGTTGCACTGACAGCAGCCCCTCATCGCTGAGAGTAAGAGGGAGACAGTTTAAGGTGGACTGCATTTGTGCTGATTGACTTAAAGGTATCAGCTTGTTGGTTAGAGTAATAGATCTCTTTTTATCTGCTGAGCTGACTGATTCAGCTTTTGACAAGACTTGACAATAACCTAAATCTTAAAAATGTAACAGATTGTAAAAGTCATCAGATTGTAAACAGTCCAAGACCTAAAATGAACAGAGCTGCGATTGTTGGCAATAACAAAGTAGATGATGTAAGTGGTTATGTCATGCTTTTTGGACAGATATGCTAAAGGTCATGATCCTGACAACTTGCTGCTGATCAACCCAGAGACAGCAGAGGTTCGGCTGCTAAAGACTCCCGACAGAGAGTCCCCATCCTTGGTTAATGGAACTTACTATGCTAAAATACTGGGTATCACTCATGGTAAGCTCTGTCTGTCTTAAGATGTTGTTGCTTTAAAGGGATAAAGTTTGATTTTTTTCCTTTTGGTGTTTTAAGCGATTAATTTTGTGGAAGGAGAGAAACTTGAAATCCTGGCAGTATCCTGTCAGCAGTTCTTTGAATCCCTGCTATCAGAAATGAAAACTTATTTTGCTTGAGCATTTTGAATTTTTCACAACACTGTTCTTATAACTGGTACCAGATAGAATAAAAGTTTTGCTGTTATAGCACATTGCTACGAATATCAGTGTGCAACTTTTAGAAACTTTCAGCCCATGCTTCTTGATTTTTAGTAATTCAGGCATCTGGTTTTCTGATTTTTATAGACATGCCTACGAAGATGGCCACTGGTACAATAGCATTGCAGGTGGGAGATGTAAATGATAATTGCCCCTCGCTGAGCAATAATGTGGATTATGTCTGCTATGACACTGAGGCTGTTAGTGTCACGGGGATAGATGAAGATGGAGATCCAAACTCATCCCCTTTTACCTTCAGCCTAATAGAAGAGAAGAGTGACGGGGAGTGGAAAATTGAACCTCTTAATGGTATTGTATCTCTTTGTATTTATTACCAGTATACGAATTTGAACATTATTTTGGTACTAACTCCTCAGCACAAACCTTATGACCACTGAAAGGGTCCATGTATGATGCTTGTTGAAGTGTGCCTTGGTTTTAGCAGTTCTGAACAGAGTCAATCAGAGGCTAGCTCACTCTGAAAATGAATACCATTAGATCTAATAGTTTCCATTCATATGTCTCTTTTTTGACTCTTAGCCACCAGTGCATCCCTTTGGGCTGTGAGACCACTGTGGCCTGGTCACTACAAGGTTGCTGTCATGATCCAGGATAGACAGGGCCTTGCATGTCCAGAACCCCAGTATCTTGAACTTCATGTCTGTGAGTGTGAGAAAGAAGAGACCTGCAGCAAAATAGAAGGTTTTTTTGGTATAGCATCTTTTCTTAAGGAATCATCATCTGCATTTGGAGGACTGGGAGTGGGAATGCTGATCCTGGGGCTTATGACACTACTTAGTGAGTATGTCTTGTGTTAGCATGGCTTATAAAATGACATTAGAAAGGCTTTCACACTCTGTAGGAATTCAGTTTCATTGGAATGAGTATTTTAATCCTTTAACTAACCAAGTTTACTCCTTTAAAAGGCAGCATTCTTTTATAACCACTTCACATTTATTGTATAGTTTCAATGACATATCTGTATGCTGTTTATTTTCCATCATGAAGCCAAGAAAAAAGACCCCCCCCCCCCATATTTCTGTAAATATTTGGTATACTGAGCCATTCCTCCAGACTTCTCTTGGATTTTTGGAGTCAACTCTTGATTGAACTTTTATCAGGTTTTGAAAGACTGCATAACTGCTGCTGTGCTTTTACAGTCTTAGGTCTCCTCATGACCACCTGCTCATGTGGAGTAGCAGAAAGCTTCTCTGAGCTTCCCTTCGATACCAGGGAACACTTGATTGTCTATCATACAGAGGGCAAAGGAGAGGACAAGGTAAGACATTCTGTATGAGACAAACCATATGTCCATGGATGAGCAAGTTTTCATTCATGACAACACCTACAACTGAATTGCCAATGTTTTTCAACCAGTGCTTGAAAGAGGATGTTGCTGACATTACATATGTATTAAATTCTTTAAATCTACAACTGCTCAAACTAGGGCTGCAACGATTAGTCGACGTAATCGATTACGTCGACACGACAAATTCATCGACACGAAAACGAAGGTGTTATTGTTGTTAAGAATCACATGCCGGCACCTCATGCTCATCTATAACTGCAGTGCACTACAGGATGTGCTGGGGGCAGTAGCGCTCGCTGTTTACATCCCGCAAGCAAACACAGAAGAAGAGTGCACACATTATGGCAGAACAAACTGAAAAAGACGCTCCAAAACTTCAAAAGTTTGGGAACATTTACGGAGAACAAACCAAAAAAACACGTTGAGCAAAGCTCAGCTTTCCTACCATGGCAGCACCACGGCGATGCATGAGCACCTGAAATGCCGACATGCCGGAAATAGGTGTTTATAAATAAAGAAGATAGTGATTAATCGGACGACTAGTCGATAGATTAGTCAACAAAAAAATAATCGAGACCAGGCCATGAAAACATCCAAACAACAAATATACAAACATACCAGGTAGCAATCACAGTATAACAAGAGGAGGACCCGAGAAAAGGAAAAAAAAATGTGTACAGTGCCGTCAAAACCACAGATACCAAGTATACCAGTCACAAGACTATTCCTGAAGAATTAGAATGGGGAGGGGTTGCAAAGCCTTCCACCACCCATAGGTAAACACATGTCCATATACATGTTAAATCACCCAGAGATCATGTCATAAAAAAACAGCACAAATTGTAACCACCAGGACATATTCACGCTAGCAGTCCCACACAGGTATCAACCATCATAGAAAAAAAAAACATAAATGACTCAAATCCTCCCCTAAGTGACAGAAAAGACACCAACCATACATATACATTTTAAAGAGCAGTACACAAAAAAAACGAGCGACCAGCAAGAACTCTCTGGTGCATATTCTGAATAAGTCTGACTACTGGTCTGACTACCCTCCCATACCTTGTCCGCATTCTCTGCAAACCGTCAGGGGAAAGGTTTGGTCCTGCCTCCGATGCAACAACTGAACCAGCATCAGAAGGCAGCAAGTCAACAGGAAGAGTAGGGACAGCAGGTCGAGAGTCGGGTAAGTCAACAGGACAGTCAGTATCAACAACAGGGTCAGAAGGGTCAGACCGGTTCAGTTCTACAGAACCGTTCTCGTTTTGCCTGTCAGGTCCACTCTCCGTATGACTGGCAGGGTCAATCTCATCAGGTGCGTCAGATCCGGCACAGTCATTCATATCCACATCATCCATAGTTGTCGACTCATTTCCATGGGAGACTGGGAGCTGAGATATCCAACAGACAGTCCTGTCCTCCGCTCCACATCCAGGAAGAAGAGTTGATCCATCTCGTTCAGCACCCAGCACAGACTCAGACATAGCCCCATCAGACTGGTCACTGAATATGGACCCAGCATCCTCAGTGTCAGTAGGGACTGGCGGAAAGTTCACAGGCATTATCAGGTTCCGGTGGACCACTTTCTCCTGGTCAGTCACACAGTTCCTGAGTCTGAAGGTGTGAGTGTTATCCTATTTTCCCACGACAGTGTACAGGTGTCCCTCCCAGCGATCAGCCAGCTTTCTCCGCCCTTGTTCTCCCTTGTTCGCCAGCAACACTCTATCTCCTACCTCCACAGGTGCACCCCTCACTTTGCGGTTGTATAGCTCAGTCTGCTTTTCTTGTTGTTTCGTGGTTGAAATCTGAGCAATACGGATAGCTTCAGCTAGGTCACGACGAAGACACTGCACATAGACATCATAGTCCACCACTTGCTCATCTATGAGCACAGACTGAAACATCATGTCCACAGGTAGCCTGGGAACTCTGCCGAACATCAAGAGGAAGGGTGCAAACCCAGTGGTCTCATGGACCGTTGCATTGTAAGAGAAGGTTAGTGAACGCAGGAGTTGGGGCCATTTTTGCTTGGCTCTGGGTGGAAGGGCTCTGATCATGTTTCCCACAGTGCGGTTGAACCTTTTGACTGCTCCATTGCCCATGGGGTGGTAAGGTGTCGTATGAGATTTTTCAACACTGGCAACTTGGAGCATTTCTGCAATCAGACTGCTTTCAAAATTTGAAACTTTGAAACTTCGACCAGCTGAGACAGCACTGCACTGAGACCATTGGAGGAGGCATCAACTGACAGGAGAAACGACTTACTGAAATCAGGGTGTGCCAGAGTGACGTTATCTAGTAAGGCTTGTTTAAGCTTACTGAAAGCCTGGCTGCAAGTGGGAGTCCAATCAGCAGAGGAGAGGTTACGAAACATAGCGGATTTCTTTCCCTTGGTACGTCGTGGCCCCTTCAAACCAGACGTCAATGCAAACAAAGGCCTGCTAATGCTAGAGTACCCCTCAAAAAACTGTTGATAAAACCCCACCATGCCAAGGAAGGATCGGATCTTGGTGGGGGATGGGATGTCAGTACCCTCCACCATTAAGTCTTTCTCTTGCAAGTCAAATTAACATTAACTTTCTGCGGGTCAGTTGAAATTCCCTCCTTTGACACGACATGCCCCAGAAACTTCACTGAAGGCCTCATGAAGTGACACTTCCTGGGGGCTAGCTTCAGGTTGTGCACCCTTAACCTCCCGAACACCATCTCCAGTCTCTGCAGCGCCAATGCTTCATTGGGGGCAAACACAAGGATGTCATCAAGATAGCACAAGAGGCTCAGGAAGTTTTGGTCACCAAAAATAACCATCATCATCCTCATGAATGTGGCTGGGCTGTTGCAAAGCCCCTGCGGGAGCCGATTATATTCATACAGCCCGAATGGAGAGGTGAATGCAGTGAACTTTTTGTCATCCTCGTGGACTTCCACATTATAATACCCAGAGGTCAGATCCATTGTTGAGAAGAACGTATCCCCCCCCAAGGCAGCTAGGGCGTCGGCTTGGTGAGGCAGGGGGTGGGCGTCACGAACAGTGCGTGCATTAAGCCACCTGAAATCAGTGCACAGCCGCAAGTCGCCGTTCTTTTTCCAGACAAGGACAAGAGGTGACGCATACTCGCTCATAGACTTCCTAATAATGTCACGCTCTTCCATCTCATTTAAAGCTACTCTTAGTTTCTCGTAATGTGATGGGGACAGGCGGTGATAGGGGAGCCTGAAAGGTTTGCTGTCACTCAGTCAGATGCGGTGGACAAAGTCTTTGGCTTTACCGCAGTCTAGTCTGTGGCGGGAGAAGATGGACTCATATTTTGCTAGCAAGTCGACCAGTTTTGACTTCCAGAAGGGAGACAGGTGAGTCGTGTTAATGTCAATGTCCTGCAGACCCAAGTCAGAAAGAGTGGGACAAAAGGGCGGTCGAGCAGTGCAGTCTGAGTCAGCAGTCAAACTCTTCTCACTGTCAGTGTCAGACTTGTCAGCTGTCTTTGTCACGTTACATTTCACTTCATCAGATGAGTCAGTAGCATACAAATAGTCAGTGTTAAAGTCTTCCAGCGCCACACATGGTGATACATCAGCAAGCTTGCAGTTGCGTCTCAAAGTCACTGGTCTAGAAGAGGGGTTGATGACTCTCACTGGGACCCATCCGTTGCCCCAAAGTGGCGTTACAACACGGCCCACCATCACTGAACGCGGCACTGTTCGTGACTCACTTGGCTCCACGACCACTGTGCTGCCGGCTGAGAGACACACATGAGCAGGTAGACGGCCCCAAACCAAGTGTTCTGTTAAGGGCTCGAGGGTTACTGCACGTTTGAGCTTAACAGTACCCACCTTGTCAGGACACTCACCTCCCTTCCATGTCTCAACAGCAGCCAAGAACTGCAGCAGACTTCTCCCCTCCTCAGGAAGCTGATCTGAGAGAGACACCTTCTCCTCAAAGTCACCAGAGTGCTTCAGCACCCAAATGAGGTGTTTTATGACATTGCTGCCAAGAATGAGATCATCACTTTGACCCTCCACTATGAGTGTCGGAACTGAAAAGCAACAGTCAAACACTTTCATCTTCAGCTCACACACACCAACAGGTCTGGTTGTTAAACCACCGCATCCAATGAGCACAACCGATGTGGGAGAAATGGAGTCAGGGGAAATGACATTGTTCTCTATCATGAGGTTGAGCACATGAGAACTCAGGGAGCAGGCCATTGAACCACTGTCAAGCATGGCATTGAGTGTCATAGTATCTTGAATGAGCACTGTCGTGCGGAAAAGGTTATCAGTTGCAGACAGTCTTTGTGTATTTTGAATGACCACAGTGGAGCCTGCACTTGTCAAGGAGCAGAATTGTGAGTACACTGATTCAAGGTCAACATCATCAGAATCTTGTGGGGAATTGCTCTCCGGCCCTACATTACTCCCCTGCTCATGCGGGCCAGCTAGTTTCCCTGCTGGGTGGCACCATCAGGTTGAGCAGCAGATGAGTCAGGAGGAGGAGCGACATGGCAGGATACAGCTTGATGGCCTGTAGAATAACAGCGGAAACACAGACGCTCTCTCCTGCAGTGAGACACAGTGTCATGATTGTCATTCCTACATACAGCACAGGGGCCCCGAGACTTGTTGCGGCTACCAGTATCTGATGACCTTGGAGGTCTGGAATGTTGGAAAGTCTCTCGCTGCAGTAACCGCTCAAGGAGAGTGATGACGTGTTCAAGTGACTGCCCTTCAACATGTGACACTCCACTGGTTGTAACTGGTTGAGGGGCAGGAGCGCCCCCAGCAGACTGAGCATGGCACTGTACAACACTCACAGGTTGGTCGGGTTGCTGGTTCCTAGCCGGACATGAAGACTGACGTTGCTGGAGGCGCCTTTTCCTGTGGTGTTCATCCAACCGCACCTGGACATCAGCTGCAGTCCACTCCTCTAGCGGTTTGCAGCTGAAGACTAGAGACAACTCAGTGTCAGGACAGTGAGTGATAAACATGACTGTCACTTCACGGGAAGGATTGTCAAGGGTCTTTCCTTGTCTCTTCAGTCCATCTACAGCAATGTCAATGGCTTTGTTAAGCCGAATCCAATAGTCACCAGCAGTTTCAGTGGGTCGAGGCTTTGTGTCATAGAAGTCAGCCAGAGGCATAAATGAGGTCACAGAGTCACTGAAGTGCTGCTTAAGTATGTCAAACACAGGTTGAGGGTCTGACTTTAAGTCTAAGGAGGGTTGGCTGCGAAGCCCAATGGTCACTACAGCACGTGCCCTCCCCCGTAGCTTGCCCAAAACCTCATCCACCTGGTCACATAACACGATGCCCCTCTTACTCAAATAAAGTCTCATTGCCTCCTCCCACCCACAGACTGATATCCCATCGGTATTGTCCCCCCTGAAAGGACGTGGCTCATGGCTATCATGGTTGATTGTCAGGTTAACCTTAGACAGATCAGCTGTGGTCGAGTGGGTAACATTAGCATCAACAGCTGGAATGGACTTAAGACATGAAACAATGTTCTCACCTATACTGGTGCCTATCTGTTTCACCAAGTCACTGAGAACATGGACATCCCGCCCAGAAAATGTAGACTCCCCACCCACCCCAATATCTGCAGCTGCGCAAGCACCATCCCTCCCAGGGCGAGTATGAGGAGTAGAGGTAATGTGTCTGTCTCCACCAAGCCCACCCATAGTAGGAAACTGACTAAACCATAGCCTTGAACCCCTACCAATACTTGACACATTATGTTCATCCATTGTCATTGAAAGAGAGAAAAAAAAAAGTCACAAAATCTCAAAATCAAGTACTCTATAATCACTGATTCACAGAAACACCCTTATGTTTTCTCTATCCTTCACTTTGCTCTTGTTTCTGCTCTTTAAAGAGAAGACCAGGTATCAACCTGAAATCACACATTAAATGAGTCAACAATAAGGAAAGAAAACAAATCTCAACAGGTCACATTCAAATACAACACTGACCATGTAGCATAGACAAGTGGACTCCCTTTTTTATTTATTTATTTATTTATGTTTGTTTTTTTTTTGTTTTTTTTTTTAACGTGGAAGCCTCAGATCTCTACACCCCGCAAAGAAACCACAGTCCACAAACCAGGGCTGAGATCACAACCAGACTCACAATATCCAGCAAAGGGGCAAACCACACATGGAGAAGCAGCATGAAGCAGCAGAGGGGTCACTCGTCCAGCGTCGGCGTCACCATGAAGACGAACGGGTCACGGCACCATTGTAGCGGTCGTACTTGCGTTGTGTGATTAATTCCGTAGAGAAACCATACTTCTGTGTTAGATTCGATGTTTATTCAGTACCCAGTGAGCAGCTCAGCACAACTGTGCTAACAATATATATTCAAACTCTGTACCTGGCAGAATATTATCATGGTCAGGTCTCACATCAGACATGCGGTCTCTCTCTCACTGCAAGTATAAAATAACAACATAAGTACCCTCTTAAATAAGGAAATTAAAAGATAATTAAAACAAAGAATCCCAGAGATCCGACATGTGGACTTACCCAGTGAGCAGCTCAGCACAACTGTGCTGCTAGACTGGGGTTCACTCCCCAAATCCCCAGGGGGTGATGCATTCGAGGGCTGCAGGGAATCTGAACATCCTTAAAAGAACCTAATGTAAGGCATGGCAAGTGAAATCACTAAATATTAATTCTAACTACGTTACACATACACGCAGAGGCATAGACATACAACAATGAACCGACAAAGAATCAGGCGAAGACAAGGACTATATATACACACACAGTGCATTGAGAGGCAGGTGAGACACTGAGACACAGGTGCAGACAATTACTAAGGAGGGAAAACTGAGGAAGTAGAAACAAGACTAGAAACACAGGAAATAAACTACTTCAAAAAACGAAAAAAAAACAAAAACAAAAATGGAAACACTGAAAACTAATATAAACACTGAGAACATGAGGCAACCGGCATCAGACACAAACTGAAAACTCACAGGGCAGGACTACAGGGGAACAGGAACAATAGGGAACGGAAAAACTAGGGAAAATCATAAAGAAAATACACTCCAGGGAAAAACTAACTCAAACTGAACATATCATGACAGTCAGAGGGTATAATGCTGCGATTCCCCCCGACATTTCACTGTCTGTGACTGAAATACAAAATACAAAGAACTGAGTAGATCATTGCTGGAATATCTATAAAATAAAAGAACCCCTTCAGTCTTTGACACTCATAATGCCACTATTTCTGCCCTCTGAAGCAGCTGTTTTTTGAAAAGGTTCTTTAAAATATTTTCCTGAAGTAAAGAAAAACTACTGCAATATTACTTGTGCTTTTAAGATTTAGCAGAAAACAGGTATAACAGCAATACTTGAAGCATACCATTTTTCAAATTTGCATATTGTAAATATTGTGGCTAAGTCACTTGTGTCACCTTGCAAATTTTATTTTATTTTATTTTTCAAAATTACAGGTTTAATTCAATTACCAACAGCCGAGTTGACATTGTACTGAATTTTTTTCTTTTTTTTAAATCCTGGTTCTTATCTCCTTTAGGAAGTGCCTCTGCTCAGTTTACCAATCCTGACAGCACCTGCTGGCGTATCTGCTGTAGCTGCTGTATCTGTTGCAGCTGCTGCAAAGGTCAACAGCAGGGCTTTAAGCCCTGAAGCAACTGCATCATTGTCCTTTATGGCTCTAAACTTGGGCAGTGCCAACCACATGTACAATTCCAGTTGTGAGGTAAACGCCAGGATGCAGCACAGCAGCTTTGGAGAATCCAGAAAGAGCTGGAGAGAGTCCAGAGAGAGCCGCAGAGAGGTCAATTCAGCTACGGAGCATTTGCAGCAGTATGACAGCCCCGACGACATTGCCCTCCCAGATATATTCCTACATGATTACTACTCACAGGTGAGAACACACAGGTTGACACATTACTCACTTTTCATTCAACTGACTCAGGCTATTTTGTGATGTGGACACTGGGGGTGGTGGATTGCAGGAGTAGGCTATATTCCTGTCCTCTTTACTTCTGGTAACGCTTTTCATCAATATCTAGAATAAGGTCTTCTAAAAGCTGAGTCCCCAGTTAAGTTGAGGCAGGTAATTGAACAAAAGTGTTAACATGGTAACTGAGCCATAGGCAAATACAACTCTTATAAAAGGGAGGAGGATACACATCATCCTGCCACATTCATTCAAATGAGTAGACCGGGGGTGTGGCTGCCTATCAAAACAACAAGTGAAGCTATGTGTTATGTGATATGAATAACAAGTAGTATTAGATTTGTTTTGTCAGATGCAGAATTGACTTTACAATGAACCCCTCTGCATTTCCACCTTGTTAGAATTAAAGGGATATTCCGGCATAAAATTAAGTTAGGGTCAAACACACCGTAACACCGAGTTAGACACCCAGTCGAGAAATGAATGTTGCTGACTGCTTGCATCTCTAGTTATACCAACTTTAGTAACAACTGCACAGAGCCACCTGGTCAACCAAAAAGCCACTCTATAGCCACAAATAATGCTCAGAACAGCACCTAACTTCATCAACAGTACATATAGGGTCCCAGCCATAGTACTAGCCACCAAATGTCTTTTTAACTTTGCCTGATTTCGTGTTTCACGTAACTCTCTCTCTTTCTATCAGCAGCCGCTTGTTTGTATGGAGACCTCCGGGCAAGTCCATTGACCGCAGCCGAGGGACGCAGCTTAAAGAAGAACATTTATAATCATTTCCTCATGGACATGCAATCAGACCTAGACGCCAAGGCAGAAGAACTACTGCATCTGCACAGTGCAAAATGATTAATATGATGATTATTACTTAAAGGAAATGATAACGTAATTATCATAAATGTTCTTCCTTGAGCTGCGTCCCCCCGCTGCAGTTGATGGACTCGCCTGGAGGTCTCTGTACAAACAAGCAGGGTTTCTAACTCAGTGTTTGATCCTAACTTAATTTTAACTGTTTAATTGAATCTGTTTTTCAACAAACCCCCTTCATAGTAAGCGCAGAAGCTGTTGTTGATGTTCATTCACAATTAACACTGGCCATTGTGTCATTGTATTTTACAATCAAGTAACATTTGTTCCAATTAAATACTTGGGAAGGATTGGATCAAAACTAAAAAGCTAACAAATCATTGGTTGTATACAACATATATAGATAGCATGTTGGTGATCCAGTCCAAAATAACAGCAGTACCACTGCTGTGCTGATGTTTTGAACACTTGATATAAGAGGGCTTTTCTTATTGGTTCTATTGGACCATGGCTATGGCAGAGCACCAATGACAGCTGGTTATTTTCCAGAATAAATCCAAGTCATTATGCTTTATCAAAATGTTGCAGTGAGTAACAAATAATTAGAGGTCAAGTGAATATATCTTTCAAAGTGTTTTCAAGCTAATTGCTGTGGAATTTGTTGCACCTGGCAAACACGTGTTAAAATCTATTTCTTTGTCTATGTGTTGTGTAGAAGGCAAGCTGTGCAGCAGCGATGAATGCAGCATGGGACTGTCTGTTGGAGCATGATTTTGAGGGCCTCGGCTCGCCTGCAGGCTCCTTGGGCTGCTGCAGCATTTTGTCGGAGTCCGATGATGACCTGGAGTTTCTTGATTACCTTGGGCCAAAGTTCAAGAAACTGGCTGAGATCTGTTCTCCTCCCAGACCTCTGACACCACCAAAAAGTGTCCCCATACATAAAGTTGACCTCATTTCTCAGTCTTATTTGAAGACTAAACTACTAGAGCAAAATCAAAATGTCAGCAAGGGCAAGTCATCCAGCAGTGCCGTGGGCTTTAATAGAGCATCCACTAGCCACATCCATGGGCAAAAGTCCACAAGTCTTGTGGGATTTAATGAAGCAGCTTCCAGTGTGCATAAGCAAAGTACACACCTTAGCAGCATGTCTCAGTCGTCTCATGTCAGCCCTGTTACTAAAACCAAGATGCCCTCTCATGGCCATGTGCTTCTATTACAGGAACAGCCTGTCTTCTACACCACTCCTATGTTGAGTCCTATGCATTATGTAGTCAAACCCCTACCCCAGAGCCCTGTGCTGCTGGCTGAAGCTCCTGCCTCCAACCTGCAGGGCATGTTACTGCTCAACAGGAGTCTTGGAAACATTGCACCAATCCATCATGGGGGAACCATGACAGGGACTTTACCTTTTAGTGAAACAAGAGGGAACATCATGTTGGAAGGAAGCCAGGTAGTTGGGATGTGGCAGCAGAGGTCTGATGACCCAGGAGAAGTGAGGAGTATCAGAAGGAGTGATTGTAGGATCAGGTCAGAGGGTGGAGCTGGGACAGAGCCAGTTAGTTAAAACTTTTGTGTGGGAGTAATAGGGTTTGAAGAGCAGCACTTGATGTCAACACAGAGTTGATAAAAGAGGAACCAAGTCCACAGTATCAGCAAGGAAAGATTTCATACATTAGAAATTCTGAAATTATGAGCATGTCCATACAAAGTCAATTCCAGCGCAACCATCAAAAGATTCCTTTATGAAACAAAAAGCAACAGTTATACATTTTAATGTGTTTGGTCTATGTAAAATGGATTTATCTTTATTTATTTATTTTTAGCTGCTGGTTTGTGTGAGATACTTGTCAAGAGTCAGTGTATTACCCTGGTGGGATCCAGGTTAGCTGAGAACAAAGCAGAGAACTGGCATTGAAGCTGGCATTGGTAGAGACAGCCACTACAGACAAGGTCAACTTTAATACATATGACACATCATTTTAGAAGAGACATATTCCAGCACTTTAGTTTGCCATCTGAAAGCCTATTCACTTTTGTCCTTTCACATTGGTATGTGACACATTTGTGTTCCTTCTGCAGCACACTGATCAGTTGTTTTGGTTTTTGATTCAAGAGCAACTATCATTATTTTATTAAATTCTAAAATCCAAATAAAGTACACTTACACCAACATAAGTAACTACATACAAGTTTGTCTAAACTACTCACATGGTAAAGTTGGTGCCACATACACTATCGGTCAGCTTAGCATCTATGCTGGCTCTCTGAGCAGTTTTTTTTTTTTTTTTGTGATTTAAAAAAGTGATTTAATTTGAAAGCAAGACTGTAAGATTTCAGTTCATTTTGTATGCAGGTAACTCTAAATCTTAAAAGGTCATTGTCTAAAACTGTCCAGGAGTCTTGGAAAAAAAGTGTCTTCTTGGTCTGTGAGAAATAGTTATTTTCTGAAATCAGATAATCATAGTGTTTTTCAATTAAACACTAGATGGTAGTATAACCACTCAGAGTAAGAAACTCAAACCCTAAATTATAGTAGAGTAAAGCATGTCTTCATGCTGACTCAGAACCAGACTGCTGCTTTAGGTCTTTTCATGTCTGGTATAAAAAAAATATTTTTAAACTCCACTGTAAGACAGAAAAAACAGTAACACTTTTCTCTTTAGAGCTTCATTTTTACACTGAGCTTATGTTGTTGGGTGGTGGGAAATATTTAAAATAAAGCGTCAAGACCGGAATAAGGTGGTGGGATGTAGCTTTTTTAGACAATAATGACGATGCATCATGTTAAAGAGGTGTGGTACAGGGTTTCGTTTTTTGAGAAATAAGAGTATCGCACAAATTTCCAAAGCTCATTCTGATCATTACAGTTGAGATTATTTCATGGCTACCTCTGTGTGCTGTTCTGTAAATTTGTGTGTCTTTTGGAGTTATTGTACTGTATTTACTCCAGGTCATTTAAATCAAAATCCACGGGAAATGATACTACTCTACTTATATTTAGATTAGTATTATCAGAGGTACTTGTGACATGTCTCCTGCCTTTTTACAACCAGATTACTAATAAATATCAGATTGTATGTTTTGTTTTTGTTTTTCTCCTGTTTTAAACACATTTCATAACAGCTCAAAAGTTGGATAAAATTATAACTGTTTCTATGTTCACCTTTCTTCAAGCATTTGACCCATTATAGTGTTACAGTGTTAAAAGCAGACTGCTTTATTCTGCTGTCGCCAGGAAGGGTTTCTCTGAGCACACACTAAACACTAGAAGGACCACAGAGCAGCCATTTGGCTTTACCCCCCTCAAGGTCCACGGGGCAGCCGATCGGCTGGAAGGATTTTAGCTAATATCCTAAATCACCTGTGAGCACTCATTTTGTTATGCAAACGAGGTGATCGTTGGCGCACCACAGGAGGGGACTGGACTAAGTGGTGTCTGCAGTGGGAAGGGACAACAGAAAGGAAGGGATCAACACACATGGGTTGTTTACTTTGTTGCTGAAATTTATTGATTAAAAATAAACAAAATTTAAAAAACTGTATAGAATAAGAACAAGAATCAGAATCAGAATCACAAGGGGTTTTATTGCTATTGTCAATGAACATGTTTCACAGACTAGGAATTTTTTACGGCGTGATGGTGCATTATTAAACAGAGAATAATATGTAAAATACAAGAATAGAAAATAATAAGAGCATGCAGGACACATATAAAGTATAAAAGTATGAAAGGCTATGTACAATGCTAGGATTTTTTACGGCGTGATGGTGCAACATTAAACAGAGAATAATATGTAAAATACAAGAATAGAAAATAACAAGAGCATGCAGGACATATATAAAGTATAAAAAGGTTGGTGATGGACTTCAGGTGAATATGCATCATCAGGATACAGTGTTAGATTCTCACTCACAATCCTGGCACTGCCATGGTATCTCCCTTCTGCATTTCCCACATGTGTATCTGTAGCAGTCAACACATCGCACAGTGGCGTGATTGTTCTTACACTGATTTTTAACCTGGCACATGGCTCTTTTCCCAGGGCTAGGTGTGGAAGGTTGTTGCCGAAGCAGTTCTTCCTTTCGTGCCTTCTTCGCAGTCACATGAGAGTTAGCCAGCTTTCTTGCAAGCTCCACCAGGAAGTCCACCCGTCTATCCTGCCTCCCATTGCATGCTTGATACAGCACATGTGCATTCAATGCTGCCATATCATTCATGTTATAGAACACAGCGACTGGCCAGCGCCGTGTTCCGTTTGGGCGCATACACCGTAAGTATGGCTCCAGTGGTTGAAAACACTTGAGTTGTGAATTCATTGCAGTCCCTCTGTCTAGATGATTGTGGAATTTCCCAGTGAATCTTGTTGACTGTGCCTAGGATGGTGGTTTTCCACCTAAGCAGTGGTTGCGCAAGTGACATCAATGTGAAGAAATTGTCTGTGGTTCCATTCTTGCGCTTGTCCAGGAATGGTTCCATCAGCCTCAAAACTATGTACTCGGACAGTCTCTCCCCACTCGGACGACTGGGGTCCTTGCAAAGATATGGGAGGACATTGCAGATGTACTTGGATTTCAAGTCACAAGCCACCCAAAACTTGATCCCAAACTTGTCAGGTTTCGTTGCAACGTACTGCAGGGAACAGCAGCGAGTCTTTGACAGGAAAAGCTGTTCGTCAGTGGTGATGTGTCGACCAGAGTTGTAGGATGTGATGCAGTTGGTGACAAATGACGACCACACGGCAGAAATTGCAGCAAACTTGTCAGTCTTTGTGCACTCACTGCGGGTGTCCCTATCATCAAAGCGTAGGTGTCGCATAATGTCTTTGAAGCAATTTCGGGACATAGTTGCAATGATCTGGGGGTTTCCCAGGTTTGCTGACCAGCAGTCACTCATTGATGGAACCTTGGTCAGCCCCCGCAAGATAATAATAGCAATAAATGCCATTAGTTCAGGGAGGGCCATGAACCAATCAACATACTCTGTTTGCTTCGTATGTTGAACAGTACAGTCTCGAATAGAACCAAGCATGTCCAGTGTGATGAAACACAGGAAGCTCTGAAGACCAGTCAAGATGGACCTCCTGGCCTTAGCTGTTGGTTCTCCATCTGCTGAGGTGCAGGGACATCAGGAGAAGTAGAACCAAACAAAACAAACAGAGGCCCAAACTGTCTGTGCAGTGGCTATGGCTGAAGCAGTTTCTGTCTACAGTTGTTCTCAGGTTAGAAACTCCCCTCCCCCTCCCCACTCCCTCTCCCAACAACACAAGTTTTCTTGGAGTAACTCAGCATATCCCCTCCTGTGGTGCGCCAGCGATCGCCTCATTTGCATAACAAACTGAGTGTTCACAGGTGATTTAGTACTGGCTAAAAGCCCTCCAAGCCATTCGGCTGCCCTTTGGTCTTTATAGGTAGGAACAGCAAAAGCTGGTCCTTCTAGTGTAAAGAGGCAGAACACTATAACTTTGAATCATTTTAGTTCAGCTTTTTTTTTACTAATGGATTTCTAAATGATAAATGATCATAGACTTCCGCAGATCCAAACCCCCACTTCAGCCAGTGAATACCTGTAGACATTGAGGTGGTGACATCGTAAAAATATTTAGGTGTACACCTGGATAATAAGTTGGACTGGTCTAAGAATATAGACTTCATCTACAGAAAGGGGCAGAGCTGCCTCTGTTGCCTTGGAAGACTTGATCAATAGACATCTGCAGTAAGATGCTGCAGATGTTTTATCAGTCTGTGGTGGCAAGTGTTCTGTTCTACGCTGCAGTCTGCTGGGGAGTTTTATGTATTAAACACAAAGATGTAAGGCATCCAAAAAAACTGATTAAAAAAGGCTGGCTCTGTGGTTGGATTCAAGTTGGACTCACTGGAGGATGTGGTGGAGAGATGTACACTAAGGAAGGTAGAGGCTATTCTAAAAAACATGGCTCATTCACTTCATAACACCAAAAAAAAAAAAAAAACACCAGTGGTGGACGGCTTCTCTCTCTTCGCTGCAGGATTGAAAGATTCAAAAGATCTTTTGTACTCACAACCACTGGGATGTTTATTGTTCTGTAAATAGTAGATGACATAACACTTGAGGCATGAGAACCCAAAATTCTAATTTCCCCTTAGGGATAAACAAACTTCTTCTAATCTTGTTTTACGTAGAAACTTTGTAGGACTAAAATAGTTGTTAATGTAGGCCCTTGATTTTGGAGCAGGCAAAAACCTAGTCAAAGGCTGGTTTTGCAAAATGTGTTATAAAAATAAGCAACTCTTATAATTTGTCTACAGAGTACATATTAGTTTCTTTGATTTTTTAATACAAAAATAGATTACCAGCCACAGACAAGGTCTGCATGGAGAAGTGTGGCAGTGCCTTGCTACAGAGGGCTGAGGGCAAGCACCGAACAGTTTCTGCAGCAGTTGTTTGAAGACCTGGATTTGAGGAGGAATGTGAAGAATGCTGAGAGGAGATGTGTTATGACTGAAAAGTATAGAAGTATTATCAGTATGTACATGTATGTATGCATCAGTATGTACTGTATGTGCAAATTATTTGACTTATCCACCTTAAATAATAGCTACCTACAGACAGATTTCTGAAAGGTTTTGAACTGTTTAGCCCATTGCACTGTGTTCCTAACAAGTATCTTCATCCTTATGGACTAGTTCAGTCTTTCTGGTGTTTTTTTGTTAGAGGGTGTTTGGTGGAATGCTGGGAAATCAAAATAAGACAACTGAAGTCAGGATTATAATCCAATTTCAACAAAGTCAGTATAACACTGTGGGTGTGTCAGGAAGAAACTGAATTTGCTGGTATGTTTGGAGGGTAAATAGCCAGGACTTTTACTGATGTGCTTTATGTGAAACACAAGGTTTTGGTGTCAGCAAAAACACTTTAAATGGAAAACAAAACCATGGTGGCACCCTCTCTTTTCCATCAGATTATCTTGGATTAACATGACCGGCATGCTATGCTGTCCTGAAAACAGATTTATTGAGGTTGAGGTAACATATCTGAATGTAGATTACTCCCCAGAAGGATCTAAAGCAGAGATATTAGCATAGGTACATGCTAACAGGTGTGTGAGCAAGAACAGCTATGAGAATCCAACTGACCACTACTGACCTTCTATCTGAACCAAGACCAGCCAAAATACAGCAGTTGTTAGTTGTCAATGACATGCAAAAAGGTACTGTATTTATCCCTTTCAAGAGTGTCTTGGCTTCATCCCTTAACACATTTTAAGGAAAGCCAGCAGAAGTGTGGAGTTTGTGGGGAACAGACTCCTTGTACCCAGTTCTAATTGTGAAAATCAAAAAACCATGTCCTCTTATCTTTAGGGGTGGCAAAGACAGTGTTAAACCAATGCTGTGTCTCAGTTCAGGGTCTGCACACAGGTGAGTGCACTCCTGAGTGCACTGCCCTTCATTTGCGCTTGAGTACCCTGGGTGAGATGGATCGACTTTTGTGAACTGGGACGGTCTATACTCTGGAGGACTTCTTGGTTGAGTCGTCAAATGTCTCCGCCCTCAGGCTTGCATCACGACTGACTCAAAGAAAAGTGGCATAAAAAAAATAAAAGATACACTTATAAGCACACAGAGGTTACTATATACAACAAAAAAACAAAGTGACAACCAAAAAGAAGAAAGGACTTTACAGATCGTTTCCACAAAATTCAGAAAAAAAAACAGGTGGACTTGGAGAAAATTTCTGCTTTTGTGGAGGGGAAATGGATATGCAGAGGCTAAATCCGTCAATGTAGCCATAAATAGCCATTAATGGCTATTAGTTTATCATGTTAATGCATATGCCATAAGGCATTGGCTTCTCTGCTGGTGTAGGTTACTGCAAGTGTTGGAGTCCCTCTGGATTTCAAATGTCGATTATCAGTTGGATTATTTCTTGAGAAACCACAAAAGCTCTCTGAATGGCCCACTGATACATCCACCGATAACCCTGCAGTTGACCAGTTCCAGCCATTTCCCCCTCCACAAAAGCAGCTTTATGACTTAATTGACTCTATGACTTTATTCTCTGAAGTTTATGATTTTAATCTCGAAGTCTTTAAAAAAATTC